TAGATACAACTCCACCTTAACAAGACCAAATAAAAGCACAGCAAACCAAAACCTCAAAAAAAAGGTGAAACATAGCTAAGAACAAAGTGTCGTCCTGGAAAAATAAGAAGCTAAGCTCTGTCTATCAGAACAAGAGTAATACCCACTTGGTTGAAATAATCTCACAAATCTTTGGAGATCGAACATTCGATGAATAACTCTTGCAATGAGTCATCTTCAAACGGTAAACAAGATTTTCTTTATCTTCAGCCTCATTGAATAGAGAAGCAAGAACATCTTCAGAGAAAACATCAAAACCACTAGCAATTGAGCTGTGTATCTTCAGAAAGAAGGCATCAAGAGGAAGAATAGAGATTCATGAGGTCTCAATAGGCTCTCAGGGTTAGAATCATCCCTTATAAAAATTCTCTGATTTCTCTCGAACCACGAATGCCAAAGATTAGCAAACATTTCCATTGGTTCGTAAATTCTAGTTTGACCAGTGAGATTGGGCCCTAGTAACTTAAGCTCTTTTTAAGTAGTTACATCTGTTATGAGAAACATCCTACTAATGAACAAGATTATAAATGAAGGATTGAGTGATTGGGCCATAGGTTCTTCGCCCATCAAGTGAGGTAGGTCACTTGAGTCGTAATCCTAAGAGCATTAAGTATTTTTTGGTAAGAAATAATTTCATTGATGAGTGATAAGAGCATTAAGTATTAGAATCGGAAAAATTGAAAAGGTTATGTTAAAACTCTATAAGTGGAGATAGACCCATTTACGAAGATGCAATTGAAAAGATAATGTCGCGATTCCAGCTGCTATATGCTTTGTCCAGCAGAATCTCAAGACTCAAGACTCAAGCCTCTTGGTTCGTAAAGGCTCTGCCAAAGAAAATATTGAGCAACTGATTTGTAAACATAAATTCAAAAAAGGCCAAGACCTTATGGCTTAATTTATTAAAAGCTTTTTGAGCTTGAATAAAAAGTATATTCAAAGAAAGAAATAAGAGTAAGGGAGAGGTTCTAGATCTAGCAAAATCTCATGCCCAAGGTGGTGTCCACTTTCCAACTTTTGTTTCTATACTCCCTTTGTGATTAATTCAAACTGGAGGGATCATCCTGTAACTCTTATAGGAAGTATATAGACCGATTGGTTATAACTTTTCACTTCATCTAGCCTCCGAGGGACAGCCCAGTTGGCAAGGGCTTGGAGTCTCTTGATCATATTGGCTTAGAGGTCTCAAATTCAAACCTTCTGGTGAGCTTAATACCAAAAATTCTTGATTTCTCCCGAGTCCAAACCTTGGGGCGGGCGCGAGTGCCCTGGGTACAGGGAGCAACAACTCCCAATTATCCAAAAAATAACTTTTCACCTCATCAATGAAAAGTATTTCATTTCAAAAAACAAAAACAAGAGAAGAACACCAAACTAACAAATTAACTCATAGGAAACGAGAGACATTTGAAGCCCTCAATGTCATTGGCTTTCATAACTTATCGATCAGTTTCTTCAATGAATAGAACAATAGTAATATAGAAAGGAGTTATGGGACCACCTTGTTGGACAAAACAACTAATTAAATTTTTTTAATAGGAAACAACTGATGAAGTTCAATAATCAAATGTGTCATATATTGAGAAAAAAATATATATGCATTTCCTGAAGTTTTCAAAATATAGCCATCAATAGCACAAAAAAATATGTATCCCACGATTTTCTTAGTTTTCCAGGTTTGTTCCCATACCCAAACATCTTGGGCAAAGAAGAGATGTGGTTAACTTCAAACTATATAGAACAATATAGAAGAAAATTGTACCAAAAGATAAAAAGAGTACCTTTGCTATTGATATTTTTTCTGATAACTTCTCACTTTCTTTGATATGGATGGGAAAGACACACACTCTTGAGTATAAAATTTCCCATTTAGAAACCTGTAGTAAAAGCGCATAAAATTGGTGTAATCGATCCACAAAAAAAAAAGAAAAGAAAAAAAGAAACCAACATAAAACAATCTTAAATTACACGTGTAAAAGAAAGACATCAAGCAATGTAGCCCAAAAGTAGTTACATTAGGGGATGTTGATAGGGCATTATCAATATCCTGAATCAACATCTTTGCTTCTTCAACATAATCCTGTAAGATAAATCAAAATTTTGTGACAAAATTAGCACTTAGCAGACAAAGGGCCACACAAGGAACTAACAAGTCATGCAGTATCGTACCAACCTTCAACTTAAGATACCCAGGATGATTACATGACTTTGGGGGTAGACTCAACAAATCATATACATGATCCAAGCAAATTTTCTCTAAATTTCCAGAATGATGATGTGACCACGCTTCAATTTTACAAAGGGAATCTCCAATGCCTTGAACCCACTTTTGAGTTTCATCCAAGTTTCTTACCACATCACGGACCTATGAGATAGTCCAATACAGACAAAAGTAAATTACGACAATGTGTTGCATGCAAGTCTGAGAGAAAAATAGCCATGAAGGACTTGGAACATACACTATCCATGTCATGACCAGCCCAAAGAAACTGCTCGGCTTCTCTCAAAGCCTTAACATATGCCTCATTTGAGAATGGATCTTGAAGAATCTTACTCGAATGCAGTAACCACTTTTCTGCAAGTTGAGCCAGAGTAACACGACCACCCTTGACCTACATGCATTAAATATTTTTCTGGTCTTAAGGCTTCTTTGTCTTGTGAACAGATGACCATGATAGTTCATCTCATGCCTCAATTTCTTTTATTCAAAACAATTCTCTAAGACCTCCAAATAGGCCAATTTTATCACAGTATAAATCAGGGGGTAAAGGTTAATGTATCTCACAATTTTAAGAAGCTCATAAACCTCTATTTTATACTAATTCTTTTACAGAACATACAAAAAAAGCAAGAATTCATTTTTTTTTAGTACAACATGTAGGGGGTGGGAGATCGAACTCACAACCTCTTAGTTGGAGATATATGTCAATTACCGTTCAGCTATGCTCGCTTTGACAAAAAACAAGAATTCATTGACAACAAAACTTCAAATAATTTCAATATGAAATGTCATGGTTTTTCTTAGTAAAATAATAAATTAGTAATATAAAAAATAACAGTTAGCCTATAGGATAAGACATCCTAACAACCAGAAATGACAAACCTCTACTATTTGGGTTTCAGAAGAGGTCCTTTCAAGAGGGGAGTTCGATAATTGGGTGAGTTTGGTGTAGATTTTGGATCCGGTTGTCTTAGGGGAGGGGGTGGATGACGCGTTTGGTCCGGTCCTTGGAGGTTGATGGTCGGTTCACTACTAAATCCTCTTTTTTGAACTTGAGGTAAATTTCCCCCAAGCTAAAGTCCCCCCTGATTAACAGTATTTGGAAAGAAAGACTCCTAAGAAATTCAAGGTCTTTCTATGGTCCCTAGCCCATAGATTGTTGAACACCCACGAGCGGTAAGATGCCCTAAATGGAAGCTCTCCCCGTCTGCCTGCTGTCTATGTTTGGGAGATGCTGAGTCTTTAGACCATCTGTTTTTACATTGTTCTTTTGCTGAAAATGGGTGGTAGCTTCTGTTTAAGATTTTTTATATCTCAACTTATTTGCCCAACTCTATCGAAGACTGGTTGCTAGAGTGTTTTCAAGGGTGAAGCTTTAAATGAAAGTTTAAAGAGTTGTGGGATTGTGCTTTTAGAGCCCTTTATGGAATATTTGGTTGGAAAGGAACCTTCGGTCTCTCTACGATAAACCTAAATCTTTTAATTCTTTTTATGATAGTGTTCATTACGGCATCTTATAGGTGTCATACGAAGAGGAAATTCTTTTGTAATCACAATCTTTCATTGATTTTACAAAATTGGAGAGCTCTCCTTTGCTAGTTTCTTTTGTAAAGGGACACACCGTCCCTTGTCCTTAGGCTACTCTTTTGTTCTTTCTTTTAATGAATCATTTCCTATCAAAAAGAAAAATAAATAAAGGAAACCTTCATTGAGTAACCGTCAAAGTCCCCAACTTCAACAGATGGTTTTTTAGTTTTTAAGTCCCCAACTTTAACATATTACCTCGTACCCCACCTACTTTCCTACTTCTAATTTGGTTTAGATATAACCACAAATGAAACAATACCTAGATCAAGTTTACCCAAACACTCATGATGACTACCTATTTCAAAGCAAGATGCTCTTGACAATGCACCCACTAAATAATTCAAAATCTCGATGGTAAAGAAACTAAAATTGTCCTAAACCCAAGCAGTTGAACCTCAATACCTACACTTCCGACATCTAATTTTGGAACTAGAGACAAGCAAGATCTCTACAAAGACCCCACTTTTATAGGGGACTCTTAATGGCTTTTCTACCATTAGCTTCAAGCTTCAAAAGTTATGCTCTCTTTTATCACTCTTTTTTAGCCCAAGCGAGAGTTGATCTTTTTGATGTTACAAAAACTTATTCAATACTAGATTTGAAATGAGAGTCTCGAGAAATCCAAAGATGATGAGAATTAACAATGGCTCCCTAACTCAACCAAGTCAACACCGTGATTATTAACAACTGGAAGGCCTTTTTGTAGCCGGTTTTTATGGGAGGGGTTGTCTCTACCCCTTGCCCTTAGGTTGTCTTTTTTTGTGCAGTTAATACATCCTTTTTTGGTTTCTTATTAAAAAAAAACACCAAGTCAACACCTAGAAACATTCTCTTCAATAAATGACAACTTAAAAGACTTACTTGCCCCTAAGGGATGGATCCGTTGGCAAGGGTGGTCTCTTAGTAAAGTTTGAACCTTTCGATGACCTTAATACAAAGAACCCTTGATGTCTCCAGGTCCAGACCTTGGGGCGGACGGGGTGCCCTAGATATAAGGGAACAAAGCTCTGACTCCCAATTCTCAAAAAAAAACTTAAAACACTTACTTTCAATCATATAAGAAAAAGGGCCATGAACTGTATTTCACATAGCCATTATTTTAAAGAAAACATAACTGAAATTCTCAAATTAAAACTAAACATGTGAAGATGAGAAAGGGGATTGAAGGGAGAAAGAGAAGAGCACAGTGTCTTTTAAAGCACTCACAATCATCTAGCAATTTAAAGAAACAAAATAATTGAACATTTAAACCTTTCTTGTCAAAGTACATCGTTCAGTGAAGCATAAGCCCGCTGGTCGCAAATCCTTACTTTCAATTGCCTCCCCAGAACCACATCTATCAATTATAGCAATCAAATCATATAATTCTGCAAGTGTATAACGATAACGAAGGCGCCGCCTGCTGTACTTGCATTCACAAAGGTGTTGCCAGTGCTGCCAGTAGCAGAGAAACATATAATCAGATCAACATAGGTAGAAGATCCTCCACACATAAATCAAAACAACAATCCAAGTCAAGTAAAAGTGTTGAAATTTAACTAGTAAAATATAAACTTTTTTGACAGTTCAAAGCCACTTGACCTAAATAACAATTTCAAAATACTACTCTTTTGCTACTACTTTCTATGAGCATAGATTTCAAAAGGCGCCCAAAGGATAAGAGACACTTGATAAATAAAATTCCCTAACAATACAACTCTGGAACGAGGAGTTCATTAGTCCACACACCTCCAAACATACAAAAGCAGATCTCCTACAACGGCAACCTACAGCTGAAAGAAAAAGGTACTTCTTACAAATAATGCATGTTGGATCCTGCAACAACAACAGAACGTCAGTCAGAAACAAGCTTCTTAAGATAGTGACATGAAATATCAGATCAGACTACGATACCTCCTCAGTACTTATATATTCAGGGCATTTTCGAGGGGGCAACGGAGAAGATCTGATTATACCACTTTTCCAAAGTTGTTCTCTCCAGATTTTCTCCTTGGAATATATCCTAAGTAGCTCTTTCTTTAGGTAAGGAGACACCCCGCCATTGCAGTCCATCTGCAAGAAATAGCGCAAATTGAGGGGGAAAGTAGCGTGAATCGGAAAATGAAACAGAATCATACACTGACACTGATGCTAAGTTAAGTGATCAATTAAGGACATCTTAAAATGCTGCTGAGTCACTAAAAGATAATACAACCAGTTTAAGAACAATTTCAGCACTAAAAGCTCGTGTACAATAAATTTCATCCCAAAGCTAATAAGAATGATTGAAAATTTGAAGAAAATGCAATGATGATGGGAAATGAATAATTATCAATAATACTAAGTTTGTGCGTAAATAAAAGGCTACTGCTACTTGAAGTTACTGAAAGAAACCACAAATTCAGAGAACAGACCCTCATTAATCTTTTCACACTAATAAACTATAAGATTATCACCATTGATGAAGTAAAATTATAAACAAAAGGTGAAACTTACAAGTGTACAGTCAATAGTCATAACCAATTTTGAAAGCTGTTTCTTACTATTCCTAAAATCAAAGTCAGTAAGGATTTCTTTTCTCGATAGGGACTAACTTATCGACCACGGTGAAGTGGTACTCACACAAAATAAAACCCTAGGGGCAGGGGGAAGAGAGAACCCCCTTCCAAGGAAATTAATTACATGATTGCCCTCCAATTGTGAAGGATCATTGTAAGGCTGTAATTAAAAAGAATTTACTTTTTGTATAGCACCACCAAGTAGCGATAAGTTGGAAACTACTAGAAAAGGATTCAAAACTCGCTTCCCTATTCTCAAAGAGCTTTTGGTTTCTCTCCATCCAAATTCTTAATAGCAAGTTACTGCATACTACCAACGAAAAATGCAACTGGTGTTTAAGGCATCCACAACTTAGCTCAACAACTAATCATGGTGCAGCAAAAGAAAAAATGTGAAGTATTGCCCTTAGCATTTTAACGCAAATGCATCAAAATTAGGTGAGAGCATAGCACAGTATAAAACCTTCGTTGAGATCTCATAGTTATGCTAAAACCACCAAACACTAAAGACTAGATGAAGAACTCAGGGTGTGTTTGGTTGGTGATCAGAAAACAGAAATTTGAAAACAAGGGATTCAATGAAAACCAGAGTTGTATTTTTTGTTTTCAGTATTTTCATATATGTGTTTTGTAGCAGATTTGATAATTGAATTTCAATTTAAAAAATTGTTCAACGTGTGTTTAGTAATATATTTGTAAACTAGAAGTAGTTACAAACTAAATTTTAGTTTAATTTAAACTTATATTAAAAATTTACTAACTTTTTGTTATATATAGTTTGTATAATTAATATTTTTCAAGGTTATATAATTTAGAATACCTTATATTTTACCTGTTTTTTAATTTTAACAAACATAAAATGAGTTTATAATATGAAATAATATATTTATCAAATTTATCATTTGATGTAATTCTACACCTTAAAAATTTCAAATCTGAATCTAAAGACACTGAAAACATTAAAAAATCGTTTTCAGAATTTCTATTGTTTGGATCACAGAATTCGAAAACAGTTTTAAGAAACGAATCTCCAAAATTCTGCCAAACGCGTATTCGCTGAATCCATTTGATTCAGTGAATCTGAAAACAAAAAACAGAATTCGGATTTCCAACCAAACAGGGGGCTTTTTGCTCCCAACTCCCAAGTTGCCTAGTGAAAGATTGATATCCAAATCTGGGTGTGAGTTGAAGACAATAATCAAAGAACAACTTACAAGTGAAACAAATCAAAGAATACAAGGCCATATTTTACATCAAACTAATGGAATTTAGAAGCGGAAGGTTCAGAAAGCTCCATGCATCAACCTTAATTTACCGATCAGTCCTTAGCAGAAGTCTTTAAAAATCTGTTTGGTTCGAATACAGAACCTGCTGATCCTTGATGAATTACAGAATAGTAATTTCATCAATCAGGAATTTGATTAGAACTTGACCAAGCCAAGTCGATTCTTCTGTCCGAAACCAGCCTATTCCTCCTTATTTTGAAGCAGTACGGATTACCCTTCTTCTTATTACAGTCCCTATGAAAATTCTCTCTTGGAATGTAAGGGGGCTTTGTGACTACAAGAAACGGCTGAAGATTAAGGATTTTATATTAAAGCATTGCCCTAATATTGTACTTCTTCAAGAGTCTAAAATGCAGCAGCAAATTGGACATGGAGATACTTAACAGGAAGACCCAGCCTATGGAAAAACATGATCGGGGCGAAATATGGGAAATCTCTAATTCTCTAAATGAGCCTTGGGCTTGGCCAAATCAACCATCTATAATCTATAAAGGCCCTTGGGCAGGCATCTCTAAATTCATCAGCAACATAAAAAATAAGTCCTTTGTAAAATTGGCAATAGCAGCTTGGCTAGCTTCTGGCATGACAGGTGGGCTTCCAACGCCTCATTGATTGAGGATTTTCCCCAGCTTTACTCGCTCTCTACAAGGAAAGAAGCTTGTGTTAGCAAACTGTGGAATCAAAACACAACTTCATGGGCCAAAGCGAGCATAGCTTAGCAATAATTGATATATATCTTCAACCAAGAGGCAGTGAGTTCAATCCCCTACCCTCACATGTTGTACTAAAAAAAACACAGCTTCATGGGATCGTCCTTTCCATAGACCGCTCAAAGAGGAGGAATTATCAGAATGCATTGACCTAGAGCACAGAATCTCGATTGTACGATTTGGCCCATGGATCCCACAAAAACCTACACGGTTAAATCTCTCCTCAAACACCTTACAACTTTGCAAAACACTCCATCTCCCTTGTCATATGAGGTCACACGGGCAGAAAAGTATCCTAGAAAATTTAAGCTCTTTCGCTGGGAACTTAATCACAAAGCCATTAATACCCAAGACAGAATACAGAGAAGACTCCCAAAGATTGCTTTATCACCAAATGGTTGTATAATGTACTATAAGGAAGCGGAATCTCAAGACCATCTTTTTTTCACTTGCGAATTTGCCAACAGATTTTGGAGGTTCGTCATTGAAGTTTTTTATTGGCAAACCCCTTTCCATGCGAATATAAACACTCTGCTGCAAGCAACCTTGGGGGACACCCATTCAAAAAAACAAGAAGATTATGTGGTCACTCCTCATCAGAGCTTTCTTATGGAACTTATGGAGAGAAAGGAATAACAAAATCTTTAACAACAAGTCCCAGCCTTTCAAGTTTCAACAATTTTTGTAATTGGGTTTTACTTTTAGCTCTTAGCTAGTGTAAAAGTTACTTCTCTTCTTTCTCTAGCTACCGCTTAAATGACCTTATGAGAAATTTGAGGGCTCTTTTGTAACTTTTCGCTTCTCCTTTTGTATGTATATTTCATATTATCAATGAAATGTGTGTTTCTCCTATATATATATAGAGAGAGAGAGAAAGGAAGTTTTAGTTGGCTGCATTCAGAGATATAGCAGGCTTCAAAGATAAATTTTGGTGTATGGGGGCTGATTTTAATGTCCCTAGATGGTTGTCAGATAGATCTTCTGGAGGCAGAGTAACAAAGGCAATGAGAAAGTTCAATAAAATAATAGAGAAAATGGAGATTATGGAAGTTCCTCTATATGACAGTAGATATACATGGTCCAAGAAAGGGAATGAAAGTTCCCATTCATTATTAGACAGATTCTTTGTATCAAAAGAATCAAGTGTCTTTTTTATCTTTTTGCTTCTCACTCGCTCAGGAGTTTGTATCTTTGAACAATTTTTGTTCCTTTCCATCAATCAATGAAAAGTTTGTATCTTGTTAAAAAAAAAAATCTTTCATAGTATTAGACAGAAAGGGATAAAACTAAGGTTTAGGTAGAAAGGTAGAAGACACGCATCAAAGCACAATTTTTAAAACCTTGCATCGTCCTTTTTTCCCTTGATATCTATAGTTTCGGGTTCCACCCACTGTTTCGCAAGAATAATTTGTATGCTCAATCATCAACTATAGGCGACAACAAAGACTTTCTTTCACTAAAAATTTCACTTGAAGGCTTTTTTTTTTAATAATAAACAAAGAGATTTCATTCAAAAAGAAGAGGAGCCCAAAAAAAAGGTAAGAAATACAGCCTAGAGGCAGAGGGTCGGGAGGACCCTCTCCAAAGAGACTAAGCAATCAAGGAATTCCAACCCTAAAGAGTCAAAAGAAAACCATAGTTACAAAAAATCTTCCTGTGGATCGATGCCCACCAAGAAGCCGTATGCTTTATATTCACACAAAAAGAGTCAAGAGAAGCCTCTTTCTCATCAAAAAGTCTATAATTTCATTCCTTCCAAAGCAGCCATGGAAGGGGTCGAGCACCACAATTCCAGAGAATATATGATTTTCCTTTTAGCAAAAAACCACTAAAGCCTTCAGCGATAAAATCATCTATTTTCTTCGAGAGAGAGAGCCAAGTCTAGGTGAGAAGCCAAGTAGTTCCAAGCTATAGTTGCAAAGGTACAATGAAGGAAGAGATGATCCACCGTTTCTGCACTCCTAACGCACATGCCACAACAGAAGGTGAAAGAGTCCACTGAGGTCATTTCCTTTGGACTTTTTCAGCTGTGTTTGTACCCTTATAAAAGAGAGTCCAAAGGAACACCTTTACCTCCTTTGGTACCTTGAAGTTCCAGATGATAGATGCGGTGGCTACATTTAACTTGGGAGAGGGGGAGGTAATTGCCATGAAGGCCGATTTCACTGAAAAAACACCCTTACTGTCTGCGTTCCAGCATAAGGAATCATTGCCTTGGCCAATAACCACTCCTTCAAGTTTTTCGGTAAACATCGCCCACCTATCAAGCTCTCTATCAAAAAGGTTCCTTCTCATGCCTATGTCCCATGTCATGGCCTCCGTATTCCAGCAATCTGCAATAGAAAAATCCTTCTTGGTAGAGATAGCATATAAATCCATGAAAAAGACAGATAATGGAGAAGAGTCTATCCATGTATCTTCCCAAAATCTAACTGAAGCCCCCGAAGTCACTTTGAAAGAGATGAATCTGCCGAAATCTGGTGTTGTTCTTTGTATGTCGATCCATGGTCTGCCTATGGAGGAATTCTTTGAGGGCTTGGACCACCAACCAAAAGGCTCTTCTCCATAAATGGCAGTAATTACCTTCCTCCAAAAACTGGTTTTTTTCATTTGCAAAACGCCACAGCCATTTCATTAAGAGGGCTATATTTTTGTGAGCTAGAGAACCTACTCCCATCCCTCCCTGTTGAGAAGGCAAAGCTGTCCAAGACCAATTCACAAGATTCCTGATCGGCCTATATCTTCCTCCGTTCCAAATAAAATCTCGCATGAGCTTTTCCATCGCATTTATCACTGATTTTGGAGCTTCTAGGATCGAAAAGAAATAAGTTGGGATGTTGTTCAAGACTGCCTGCGTGAGAATAAGCCATCCCCCTCTGGACAGCAGCAAAGAGTTCCATTTTTCCAGTCTTCTATGCATTTTTTCCACCACTGCTTCCCAAAAACTGAACTTTCGATGATTGCCTCCTAGGGTAACCCCAGGAAATTGAAAGGAAAAGATTCTATTTTGCATCCTAGGGTATTTGCCCAAAATTAAACTTCTGAATCGCTACAATTCACCCCAATCACTGCCGATTTTGCTATATTTAAAGAGAGACCCAACATCTGGAGGAAAATTTGAATGACACCCCACCAATTCTCCATATTCTTATGAGAAAAAGGACTGAAAATCAAGACATCATCGACATACTGAAGATGAGTAACTTCTAGAGTATTTGAGCCTATAGAGAACCCTTTGAGAATTTCTCTCTCATTGCAAAAGTGAATTAACCGGCTTAGGGCATCACCCACAATGGTGAAGAGGAAGGGAGAGAGGGGATCTCCTTGCCTAAGCCCTCTTTTGGCCAAAATCTTCCCTTTTGGCCTACCATTAATGATGACAGAAAAATTTGTAGAAGAAAGGCACCCTTGTATCCAATGGCACCATCTAAGGCCAAAACCTTTCGCTTGGAGGGCAGCATCTAAGAAGGACTAGTCAACTTTATCATAGGCCTTCTCAAAATCCAATTTTAAGAGAAAACCCTTCTTTTTCTCCTTTCTCCAACAACTGACAGTTTCTGTGGCTACAAGAATGGCATCTAGAATCTGACGACTTTCAACAAAAGCTGCCTGAGTATCATGTATTATGTGAGGAAGAACAAAGCCTGCTTGCTAGAACTTTGGCTATGATTTTATAGAGAGAGGTTACCAGACTTATAGGTCTAAATTCTTTAACTGATGTTGGATGAGTCTTTTTAGGGATAAGGCAAATATAAGTTTCATTTGTTCTTCTATTGACAATCCCCTTCTCAAAAAAGTCATGGAACACTTGAAACAGGACATTGGACTATAATCTCACCCACCCAAAAGCCTCAAGACCAACCAAAGGGTCTGCCCTTCGAGATCAAGCCTTGCATCATCTTCTTAACTATGCACAAAAAATGCCAAAGAAATCAGGGTATATCTTTGACTTTCATCTTCGAGATTATCACAGAACAGTGAATATAACTACAATTTGTATTTTTTTTTTCAGGTTTGCTAAAATATGTTTAATTAACAGGTCAAATTTAAAAGGTTGGATCTCTTGATGTCCCTTATTCAATGCAATCACTAGTTCCTTATATACAGTATATAGATAGCTAACTTGATTCAAAATAATTTTAAATGTCCAGAAATTTACAACCTTTGCTATCACACAGATAAGCTCCTCATGAGAAAAAACAGCAGGTTTGTGGTAAAGCTGATACAGTTCTTCTCCAAACCCACCATAAGGCATCCAGTCAGCAGGAGCAAAATTTACGGCCTCGGCACAATTTAATCCTGAAAATAATGAAGGGCACAGTTTATAAACCTAAGATTAGTTGCTGAACTAATCATCAAACCGTCTAAGTTAATTAAATCAAGGTATGTGAGCATACCAAGATTAAAACCCCCATGGAAGGATCTAGGAAAGGTCACAACAAAATTTCCAGGCTCCTGGCAGCAAGCAAACATGTCGAAAATGACATTAAAAAACCAATTAAGTATCTGTAAAAGTGATTAAAGGAGAGAGGAACAAATTTAACAGAAGCAAGAACAAGTCAACTTTAAATGTGTAGATGCTTGAACATATAACTGCATTCTTTTATTTCAAACCTGCTGTACAGTATAAACAGGAACGCCATTTTCTTGTAAGACAGACGGATTCAACATGGTGACAAGTTGGAAAAGCAAATCAGGTTGTGCATCAAAAAGATCAGGAAGGCTGTTCCGCATAACCTACAATCATGTAAAGGATGTACATTAATTTCACATGTATCTAATTCAATGGGAAAAGGGAAAAGAAATTCTATAACTAAAAATAAGATTACAGAGCAAGATGATTAACAATTTTAAGGAAAAAAATTACAAAAGGAAAAAGAAGTTCCAAAGATCCAAAAAATGTACACCGATATCAATTTTACCAAAGTACTCAAAACAAAATTCTTTGATAAAGGAATGGAGAGGAGAGAGAGAGAGAGAGAGGAAGGGAACCAAAAACGACTGTGCCTCAAGATCTTTCCATTGAGAAGAAATGAAGGAACGCAATACTATCATAATAGAATAGAGAGACAAGTTCATAATAAAAATATATGACATGGATGAGGAAACTGTATGCTGAAAAAAGATTCACTCAATTGCCTGCGCTCCTGGAAACAAAATACAACCATTGCTCTAGACAGACTAGGAATTAGAAGTGAACCAGATCTAATTCATAAATAGATGGTGCATAAATCAATATGTTATCTTAACAAGAAATACATAAGACATCATGTCTAATATTAAGCATCAAACGGCATCAATTCCCAGATACTAAAAGAAACATGATAATGGTTGAAACTCAAGTCTACAACAAAGTTCCAGCATACTAGCCTTTTTGGTCTAGGATTTAAAACTCAAGTCTGATAGGGAGACGTCAGATTTAGTGGCATTTTTGTCTTTATTGGGGGACTTCATTGTCAGCCCAAGTAGGAGGGATTTTTGCTTTTGGACCCCTAATCTTTCATAGGGGTTTTCTTGCAAATCTTTTTGTCCTTTCTTTGGTGGATTTCCAGCACCAGGATTCTTCTGCCTCCCAACATCCTACTTTTCCTTGGCTTTGGAAGGTTAAGATTCCCAAGAAAGTTAAAATTTTTGCTTGACGTCTTTTACATGACAGAGTTAACACCTTGGGTCAGATTTTGAGGCAGCCGTCCTTTCTGGTAGGGCAGTAGTGTTATATTCTTTGTAGAGGAGCAGTAAAGGACTTCGATCATCTTTTTAGAGTTGCCACTATGCCTCCTTGGTTTAGGATTGATTTTTTTAAGACTTTGGAATTTTTTTGGCTCATCCTAGAGGGTGTTCGGATATTATGGAGGAGGCTCTTATTCATCTCCATTTCGGGATAAAGGTAGTTTTTTTGTGGTGGGCTAAATTTTTAGCTTTATTGAGGGCTATAGATTAAGATGAATAAGAAGACTTAGGAGGAGTTGAGAGTTCCTATAGGACTATAGGAGGTTTGAGATCTTGTTATATATCACGTCTCTCTTTCAGCTTTTATGTCCAAAGCTTTTAGTAATTACTCCTAAAGTCAGATCTTTCTTGATTGAAGCCTGTTTTTAGTTTGGCTCCTTTGGTTGGGCTGTCTTTTTGTATGTCTTCCTTTTTTTTCTTTCATTTGCAATAAATAAACAAACAACAACCAAAAAAAAATTCAAATTTCCACCATGCTAGAGGAAAGAAGAAAACAAAGACAAGATTCATAAGCTAACAAGCAACGAGTGACATAAATTCCATGACATGCTTCCTCATCACAGCTTTATACAGCTATCATCTTCTTATCCAAAGAAGGTAAAATTTCTGATATGGAAGCTTAGCCACAACTGCCTTAGCACATTTGACAAGCTTCAGAGACGTTGCCCACAATGGTTTCTCTCTCCCTTCTTGGTGTTGTTTGCAAATCAGCTATGGAAACAAGCACTCGTATCTTTATTAGCTGCTCTCTATCAGCTTCCATTTGGACCCACTTCCTTGCAGCCTTTGGGTGGAATCGTTGCCTTCCAAATGGAATTACAGAATGGCTTAGGACAGTTTTTTTTATGCATCCTTTCAAGAAGGAGAAGGCTATCCTTTGGATGAACTTCAATAGGGCTTTCATATGGATGGTTTGGAAGGAAAGGAATTCCAGAATTTTCAAATATGTTGAACATGCTCCACAACAGTTGATTGATATTATTACCTTTTTGGCTTTATCTTGGTGCAAATGTGTAAATCCTTTCAATTATATCCAATTGGAGAAGTTTTTTGTAACTTCATTTGGATAGGCCTTTTTTGTATATTTCATGCTATAAATGAAATTTGTTTCCTATCCAAAAAAAAAATTCCATGACATGCATGCAAAAAGAGGATCCCCGAACAACAAAAATCTAGATGCATTTCAGTCTAAAAGAATCTAATCATTACCTTCTCAAAAGCACTAGCTTCACTACCAGGTACGCTATACCAGCATTTTGGGTCACCCCTGAAAACTCAAATGAGGTGAGAAGTAAATTTCCAACAAACGATAACCCAAAAAACATCCCAACTATATATACAATATATATAGGAATAGGAAAAAAGTATCTACAAGCTGGAAAGCCAAATCTTCAACCTGAAAATTTACTCAGATAATTAATGTAGCCAGGACAAAATAGAATCAACTAAAAATGGATGAGTATTATGGAAGGAAACTAAGAACAGACCACAACAACAAAACATGTTTTTCTCCATTCACTAAAAAATAAACAACTGAACACAAGCAGTGAGCTATAACAGGAAGCTCATTTCTGCAACAAAATAAGTTTTTAAGTAAGAATGTACAGTAAACTTCTATAAATTGATCTATCATAATAATCCACAAGAGCAACCAATATTTTTATTACATCTCCATGAAAACCCAATAAATCCTGGTTATTAGAAATAAATGGTTGAAATGTGTTGAGAATCCATATATATGAATTAAATTTACTCAACCCATCAATTTAAGCTTTTGGGTTGAGTGGTGGTTTATTCATTCTTAACATGATATCAGAGCGGGAGGTCATATGTTTGAACCCATGTGTTGTTGTTTCCTCCTCATTTATATTGATTTCCACCTGTTGGGCCTTGTCAATTATCAAATACCACAAGTGAGGGGGAGTGTTGAGAATCCATATATATGAATTAAATTTATCCAACCCATCAGCTTAAGCTTTTGGATTGAGTGGTGGTTTATTCATCTTTAACAAAATGGAAGTGAATGTAAAATCAAAATAACGGGAAATTTGGCCACATGATACATGAAAGATAGAATGAAATTTTGCATAACCAGCATTAAAATTTATCTTCAGACGTCAAAATACAAGTGATAGAAACCCTTAAGATCCAGATACATATCATCAAGAAATTTCAATGCATCCAATGACAAGTATATTGGCACCTTGGAAGTGTGTGCCTGTGCGTCCACACATAAACCAAATTTTAACTAATGAAGGTACATTTCTTCCCTCCTAAAAATTAAAATTAATATCTGCAGCTTCTGTAATGAGCATGGGAAAGTAATGAGCAGGGGAAAATGAAAGAACGAACAATGTGGCAAGAATTGATCATCAAATGGAAATTGTGAGCATAGGGGGTAAAATTAGGTACTTACCAGTGAAGGTAATTCATTGAATAGAAACAGTGATCTTCAAAATGCCAGCAGAATGATGAGAATAGCATCCCAATATATAACCAGGGCACCATAACACCAGTAATATTATGACGAACAGCTCTAAGCATGGATCCTTTCAACTTGGGCAGGTTATTGAGATTCCACGGGCTCCTACAATATTCATCCCACACCTTAGCGTCAATTGATTCTGGTCTCTGGATACTTTCACGAGGGAAACCACTGCCATAAACTGATGTGTCCAAGTCACTTCCATATTTAACTTCAACTTCACCAAAGGCACCTTCCACAATTTCCCAAAACTTCTTCTCAATTTGCATTCTAGATGAGGACCCTGAGCCGAACCATTTCTTCTTGGCCCTATAATCCATACGCTTAAATGCTTCCAAAGAGAAGCATTTACCAGGCACAAAACCAAAACTATCTTTTTCTGAATTCAAGCAATCTAAACAATACCAGTTTCCAGGTGGAACTTGCTTTAAGGGTGGTGAGAGACAATATATGTGCCACCCCTTGTCACACCTATCACATAGAAGCATCAATTCACCATGTAATCCACTTTTACATTGCTCACAAATCTGATCGTTATTTTCTTCATCTTTTAACTTGGAGACTTTGGCTCTACCATCATCGGTGTTTTGCCGCCTCCTTTTAGAGGTTGAAAATTCAGTCAAGCATTCCCTAGACTTCTCATCTTGCATTTTCCTCTTTGAACTCTTGGTGACATCCTTATTCAACTGATTATAATAGTTCTCATAATCATATAAATGCTCTCGGTACAATTGACAAAGCACATGCTTGGCACACTCCGAAATCTTCCTTGTTGATCTAACAAACCTAAAAACCTCACCCCACCTCCTCTCCTTCACAACTTTATCATACCCACCATAACGCTTCACTGCATTAAATAACTTGCACAAGTTCAACTCCTCTCCCTCAAAAACCACCTTCTTTTTCATCTTTTTGCCAAAATGATCGTCCAAAAACCTATTATATTCAAGTTCAAAAGTCTTCGAATCACAGGCAGCAGGTCTAACCTGCAATTGATGAATGGCCTGAGTTTTTGTGGGAAATGTAAAAGAATCTAAATTCAACGCAAATGGAGGTTTCCAGCTCTTGGGAGGTACTATCCTACAAATCCCGTACGGCTCAGCCTCTGGTCTGATCTTATATATATACTCCAATGGGTCTCTAAATTCATCCTCAGTTGGGTAATACACAGGCCCAGATGGTATATTCAATGATGCAGATGAACATACACTCAAATTTTGACCTAAGACCCCCTTCTCCACGGCTCTTGGTCTTCCTTTCCCCATTAAAAACAACCACACTTGTATCAAAAGTTCTTCATATACACAGAATCATATATCTAAAAATAAACATATATGATAAACTCAGTATAACACTTCATATGACATGGAAAAACATGAAGCTGCGAGGTTTTTCCCAGAGTAGTACCTTCGGTTTCAGTGTGTAAGAGAGAAGAAGACTTGCTCTGAGCTTTTTCCCGTCCTGTAAAAGGAATAGAGTTTCGTGGGAGATTTGGTTGAAACGGAAAAGTGAAGGGTTTTATAAAAGCTCTGTTGAAATTGCAATTTAGGGTCTAAACTTTCACTGAATTTACGAAAATGCCATTTATTTTCTTTTCTTTTCTTTTTCTTTTTTATTTGGGCTGTATTTATTGGGCCGCATAATTCGTCGCTTTTTCCTGTACGTCCTCCTTTTTTTCCTTCGCAATGATATMCGAGGACGATTGTTCCTCACGCGCGCCTTAAGCGCGGGCGCGCGTTCGTGCTCGCCTCGTCTTAACTCTCGCCGCTGGGTTTCAGAAGACGGCGGCGCGTGGTGAAATTTGGAATGCACGTGAGATTTGCAGAGACCTCCCACCAACCAACCAACCGCGCTCCAGTTGAGGAATACGTGTCGATCATCGGTGGCCAACCGATTTCATCGAACGGCAGGATTGGTAGTTTGACTTTTGACTTTTTTATTTCGCCAAGTGGCTTGACCGGATGGCCGAATGGGATTCGTCTCTCGTTTTAGTTATCCTAATTATTAGATTTTTTTTCTTTTTCGCTAAATGGTCCCTCATATCTTGGTCTTTGATTTTATTTTTTTTTTCAACTGTACTGTACGACTAAAATTTGTGTTCTTCCATTAAAATTTTGGTAAATCATAAATCCACATAAAATTTAATCACCATAGGGATAAATTTCATTTCTCCTTAATGATATGTGAAACTTGTCCAAATACATTAATAAAACAATAATTTAATGACATGTCAACTTTCTATTAACTTTTGTTTTCTTTACCGTTAATTCAATAAATAAAACAATAATTGTCTTGTTCTGAAGTCGAATGTTCAATTTATCACCTCAAAATCCATTACATTCAAAATGAATAAAACAAATAGTTATCTTATTTTGAGGTCGAATGTTCAATTTATCACCTCAACATCTATTATATTCAAAATACGACGACTTGCTGTATTTTAGAATTTTGAAACATTAGAGATTATGTTGAGAATTACTTAGCGATCACTCTAGTACAAATTATCTTAATGATTGATGTTGACATTCAATTTAATGTCCACAGTTTTTTAGATTTCCAATAGAATGCATTTGGGGTATAAACATCACTTGTGCTCTATTTACGTCGATACCAACGTTGACTATTAGTTGGAATAACAAAACAAATTAAACACAAAAAAAAAACAATCCGAGTATAACTAGTATAATGCAACCAATTATAGTTATCGAGGTTGAACGTCAATCTTAAACCCCTGCAATCATTTAGCTTTAAGAAAACGACGTACAATATGTACTATTGAATTTAGCAAAAGTCCAAGTATATTTTTATGGAGATCTAAAATATAGAGTCAATCCTACCCATATACGTTAAGTACTGAAAATAAACTATATAACAAAAATTAATAGGAATTCAGTCTATGTGGAGAAGTATTGTTCCAAACAAAATATTTATTAAATTTTTTATATATGACAATTTTTTTATTTTTTTCATTTTTTGATTAGAGATGACAAAAGTCACTCGATATATAAGTCTTCGATAGATCATATAACTGAACCAACTTTATAACATTTTCTACTAAATATTGAGTATTATTTTGATGTGTTAATAATTTTACAGGTTAAATGATTGGTTTTAAATTATCACTCAATTAAGATTGTGTGATTGATTAATAAAAGTTTAGACGTGTTTGGTTGATGATTTGAAAACAAATTAAATCAACACAGAGTTGTATTCTATGTTTTTAAATATGTAATTGGTAGCATATAAGAAAACTGAATCTAAATTAAAAAAAAAGTAATTAAGATGTTTTTGCCATGGCTTACCTACTAAATATTTAGTTTAATTTAAAATATTATTAATTTAGTTATTAACGTAAGTATTATAGATTTTGATAAAATTAGTACAAATTACACTATCATGTAATTTATAATATATTATACGTTTTAATTTTAACAAAAATCAAATAGGTTTATAACACAAAATAATGTATTTATTAAAAAAAATTATATTTTAAAATATAATTTTGTATTTTAGGGTTTGAATTATTTTATAACAAATTTTATATTTTTAAATATAATTTTGTATTTTAAAGTTTTAGATTCAAACCCTAAAAATGCCGAAAACATTTTCAAAATTTTACTGTTTAGATTACATAATCCAAAAATAGTTATTGGAAACAACAATGTGAAACACATATTCACCTAATTCCTTTGATTAAATGAATTGAAAACTATCTTGAGTTGTCTACCAACAAAAAATAAGCCTTTTTAAGTACTCTTTTTATCTGAACTACTTTTTGGAGTTATTCAGTTTCTCTATTTTCAAAATCCATTTTGGTTATTGCAGTGGTTGTTCATTTTAATTATTGTATTTTCAAAATGTATATTTTAGTCTCAATACTTCTAAAAATTTATTATTTTAACTTTTATATCATTTATTTGGATCATAATGTTAGTATGATATTCTACTCGCAAAATTGATTGAAATGTAATAATTATTTTGCATTACAAGATTTATAGTTGTGTTAAAATTGGTGTGGACCAAAATGGTCACATTTGAAAATTACAATAACAAAAATAGATGTTTAGAAAGTAATAGACAAGAAAATTTGAAAATGTAAGGACAAAAAATAAATGACTTTTAGGTATAACCAAAATAAAAAAACCGTGGTCCAAAACAATATTTAATCAAGACACTTATGTTAATATCCAACATTGACTTTATTAGCAAGGATAATAACAAAACAAGCGTTGAATAAAGTTTAATCAAATGTTTAATTAATATGGTTATTAGTATGATTGTAACAATTCAACTATAACGTTGATCATTAGCAAGCGTAGTTCATCGAGATACCCAATAGATTGTGAGTTTAATCCCCATGTTTATATATTGTACTAAAAAATAACGTTGAACTAAAAAATATTATAATATTATTATCTACTCATAAATGACTTATACGTTTTTATAAACGTGCCACTATTAAATTGCTAACGATTTCATAAATTTATTGGGTGCAATTGCTACTATTATTTGTTGAAATATTTAATTTAGACTGTCTAGGGGTAGATTTTTTTATCTCTCTATAACTTCTATACAATTCAATAATTTATTGATGAACTATTTTAAATAATTATGAAAAGTTAGATTTATAAGAATCTAAAGTGCTACTTTTTGTTGGTAATTAAGAATTAGATGGACAGGAACCCACGTTGTGAAGGTCCAACACCCACCCATAAACCAAAGATAAGACAAAAGCAACGTCACACATTAACTTGCCCTTTTAAATCCCCTGATGGCCCAAATCATATGATTGCTTCCTTTTTTATCCATAATAACCCAGATTTTCCCTTTTTGAATTCAACAATTGGGAAACGGGATTGTAACATCTATTATAATGATGTTAGTGTCTTGTCTACTTGAGTTGAATTATATCTATATATAATAAGAAAAATAATTTGTTGATAAAATAATACGTAGAGATAAAAGTATAAAAAAAAAATATTAATCATAGCATTTGTTTCTTCATGTTCAATTTATATTAATGTCATCGAAGGAAACTAATAATAATGTGATGGTTAAAGTTTAAATATTTAGATTAGGTGGTATATCAAATCATACTTAATGTTTCCCAAGATTCAATTTTATATTGATCTGTTAATGATTGTCTTTTTTTTTTCTTTTTCGAGACAATCTATTAATGATTATCAATTAATTTATTAACAAAAATTGTTATTCGTCAACTTAGTGCTTCCTTGTTTCTAGGTTTGTTTTCTTCCATTAAAATAGCCGATTTTTCATTTTTCACTAGATTGGATCTACCTCATTTATCACAGACAAAAATTTATATGGATGTTAGACTACGTTAATCGACTCTATGGTTAGATTGCCAACATGAGTTTAGTTTGACAATAATTGGCATATGCTTATGACTGATAAGTAATGAGTTCGAATATTCTATCTCCACTTGTTGTACTAAAAAAATAAAAGTTGTAACATTTGATTGATTTTCTTATTATAAATGCTACAAAAGGGTTTGATTCGTCTCATGTGATAATGATCACCACGAGACATGGATCAATTTCGTAAAGCCTATCTATTTATGTATATGTCTTTTACTTGAATGACCATTAAGTCAATCAACATAATTTTATATTGAGCGACATATAAATGGTCTTTTAGGCTCTTAATTAAGGAATCTTAATAAAATTTTTCATTCCCAATAATAACATGTGATGGTAAAGATTCAAACATTTTAACTTTTGATCGATGGTATATATCTTAGATAGTTGAATTATTCTTAAATTGACAATTATATATAAAAAATTTATATTATCCTAATTGTGCAATACATTACCAATTACATACATATTATAATCAATAATAAAATACACCGAAAACTTCCGTTAATTTATATATATGGACTGGGATCTTACAAAATCTTGAAAGACAGACAGACTCGATAACCTTTGACCAAAACTACATACAACTTTTTTATTTTTTAGTTGATAATTGAAAATTGAAAAGATATAGAAAAGAGTAAATAAAGTGGCATCGTGACCCTTAGCCCACCAGTTGAATCAAAACCCAATCTCAATTATAAATTAAATTATTCAAAATCCCTCGTAAATGTTGAGAATAATTTCAATTATACCTTTGTTATTACAAAATTTGATTGATTCACTTACCATTTTAAAACTGATTTAAATAAGTGGTGTAGGAGGATTTATTGTTAAAGTAATGTAGTGTTTGTGTTGAATTATATCCAGTAACGAAAATCAACCTCTCCTGGACGAGCTTACGTAGAGCGAGCTATGTGAGGGAGTACAGAAAAAACAAAACAGTAAGAATATAAAGTCAGTATGAATTCGAGTTGAATAAGTAAACATCATACAAAATAGCGTGTGTATGATTATAAAGGGTTAGAGTCATCTTATAAAGGAATACATAATGACCATTATATCACAAGTGTTCCACAAAATGATTACACAGTTACAACTGTTGTGTCGTAGGTCGTCAACAACAAAACTCAAAAGTATGTCACAGTAAAGACCAATATATATGTCATACCAGTGCTACATAGGTTGGTCTTTTAGAGTAATTCATAGTACTATGTATTTAGTATGAATAAGTTTGACCATATTACTAATCTATCACGGTTTTGTCTATGTGGCATGTCAAAATTTACCTCGCAACACGTTAGATGAAAACCCACGCAACAAATACGAAAAACCGCCAAACAATCACCAACAGGGATGAGTGAGTTAAACAAAAAAAATTATGACAAAGATGACCTATGAAAGGTGATTGTATGGTAATTATTAGGATCTGTCATGTTTGCTATTCGTTCATTTTTCAAAAGCCACTCCATCCGTTTGGACTCCAAAACCCTGTCATTTTTCTGTCACTTACTTTAATGGTAAAATTGTTCCAATACATTTTTTTAATCAATTTAACTTTTGGAGGTTTAAATAATTTGTTTCCATATTTCCATATTTTATTTATTTTAGTTGGTATACTTTCAACTTTTCGTGTAGTCCATATACTATCGAAATGTTCATATTGGTATATATACTTTTAAAAAATGATAATTTTGATCTATTTATTTTCAATTTTTTTTATTTACAAGGAGAATTCATTCACTAAATTTTTTGGAATGTAATAGTACATTTTGTATTAAATGATTATAATTATGAATAAAATTGTATTAAAATTTTGTAAATATGAAATAATAATCAATTCTAAAAAATATAAGGTTCAGGACCGACGTTTTGGATGTACACAAACTTTGAACAAGAGTTAGTACATACAGTAAAGTGAATATTTGATAAATAAGAATCAAAACAAACTAAAACAGATAGTATTAAACACCAAAATAGCATTTAAACTTTATTTTATTTCAATTTAAAGATGCTGTTCTTCAATTTTTTTTTTTAAAAATTTTTCTCTCTCTTCATTTTCCTCCTCCGAGCGAAACGGGGAAGAAAAAGTTATTATTATTAGTAAATAAAAAGCAAAAAAAAGGGGTCATGTCGGTGGAAATAGGTAATTGGACGACCAAACACACGCTCGCTGCAAGAAAAAGACACAGATTAATTGGGTTTCAATTGGAATTCTCTCTCTCTCTCTCTCTCTCTCTCTCTCTTTCATAATGAAAATATTATACAAAAGAAAAAAAAGGAAAAACATATTAAAGTTGTAATTTTTTTTAATCGTTTTCCTCATCCAAATCTGAAAGCACTCACAAGTCTTTCTCTGATTCAGACTTCTTTTCTCGTCCAACTTTCGCCTTCAGAAGTCAGTTTTTACGAATTGCACAAAAAATGAATTCCAGAAATGAAGTCTTGAGACCGTTTCTTCATTCTTCTTTCCCTTTCTGTTCTTCCCTGCTGAATCGAGAAGGAGGAACCGCTTTAGTTTGTTGATTTCAGGTTCTCGAAGCCCATACCCTTTTTTTAATTTTTGCCTCGTTTTCCGAAAAAACCACTTTTGGTCTTGCTTTTTGTGAGCTTTAGCATGATTAAAAAGGGATTTCGTTGATTGGCTCTAGGACGCACGCACGCACGCTTCGGGTTCTGCTATTTAATTTTGAGTGGACTTGGATTGTTTTTCTTTTTCCTTTTGGATGAGAATCAAGGGAGTTTTCAGAATTTTGGAGAGTTGTGGCGGGATAAGCAAGTTTTCGTAACTTGGATCCTACCAAGTTGACCCAGATTGGAATTTTCAAGGTATTTGTTCTTTCAGCTGAACAACTTGGATTTTCATCTCAATTGACTTGGATTTGACTTGTTTTTTTTGTGAACTTTTTAGCATTTGCTTGTGTCTGTAAGAATTTCCCTTGCTCAAGTGAATTCTGAATCGAACTTTTGCCTTCTTGTTTAGTGCACACTTTCTCTTCTGCAGTAAGCCACAATTTCAGTCATCTGCTTATAGCTTGATCTGAATCACTAGCTAATGTGTGTTTTTATGTGAAATGAGTTGATAAATTGACTTGGGTATTTTCTAATTTGCCCTTCTTCAGGCTTAGTGGTGAAAGGATCCTATCGGATTGGGTCACTGGCATGTGAATTTGGATAGACTAGTGGAGCTATACAAGCCATTGTCTAATCTAAAGCTCCGAAGTCATTAATCTGTGGTAAAATCTGGTGATCGGGATGGGTTGCGAGTGTTCGAAGTTCTCGGACTGTTGTTTTGGTTCAGAGGAAACCAAACCAGTTGCTCGTGCTCCAGATAATGGTAATAACGAGGTTTTGCATCTTAGAGCTTCTTGGGAATTCTGATGCTCATGTTTCATGTTCTTTTTACATACAGAAAGTGTAGAGAAAAGTGAGCTTGATCTGCCTGCATTCCGCGAGTTCACCATAGATCAATTGAGGATGGCTACATCTGGATTTGCTGTTGAAAATATAGTATCCGAACATGGTGAAAAGGCTCCGAATGTGGTTTACAAGGGGAAACTCGACAACCAGAGACGAATTGCTGTCAAAAGATTTAATAGATCAGCCTGGCCAGATGCTAGACAATTTTTGGTATGTACAGTCTCCAATTCTCTTTGTTATGTTGGCATATCATGCATTCAAATGTATTTAACCATGTTCATTATGAGTTCTGTGGACGCGATTAAGTTTCCAGCTTGGTAAGGGATGACCATTCTTGTAGATAGTACACATTTGATTGAAATAATGTGAGATACAAGATATCAACCCACTCTATGTCAAGATGACTTACAAAACTTTCATCCGACTTCCATTGATTAAAACCAACTAGAATGTCGGGGCCAGTTCGATTTAAAATCTTGGGCTTATAAGAACATTACGTTCTTATGATATTTTGTTCGACAGATCGAGGGACCTAACTTTGAATTATTTTTGTCTTATTTGCCTCGCTTTTTGTTTGACTATCTCATAAATGATTAAATCAAGTCTTTTGCTGATATATTGCACTGTCATGGATTGACTTAGAGTTCAAATCATGGTAGTCACCTACCTAAGATTTAATATCTTACGAATGACCTTGACAACTAAATGTAGTAGGGTCAGACCGTTCTTCCGTGAGATTAGTCGAAATGCGGGCAAGTTGGCCAAACACTCACGGCTATGAGAAAAAAAGAACATTGAGAGAAATCTTGATGAAATTTCTGTCAGTTCATGATCCATTGCTCCCTTCAATAGTTTCTGTTGACTACAATGTATTATTTGTGTTATTTTGTATTCAGTTCTATTGGCCTTTTTCTCTTGAGTGTGTGTTATGGAAGCCTGAAGGATTGCATTATGTGGTTGGTAATAACATTTTTGTCCACCTGAAGTTATACACAGCAAGCTGCTTCAGATCAAACAATTCTGTTCGAGTGTGAAATGGGAATATTGCATCTTATATCTCTATAACATTTACATTTTTAGGACGAAGCAAGAGCGGTCGGTCAACTTCGGAACCAGAGACTGGCAAATTTACTTGGTTGTTGCTATGAGGGTGACGAGAGGTTGCTTGTTGCAGAATTTATGCCCAATGAAACGTTAGCAAAACACTTATTTCATTGTAAGTTTATTGAAATTCTTATTCTTTTGGTGTGCACCTGAACTACATATTAGCTTCATTATTGCTCTTCACATTTAAGTCTCAATGGAAGTACTCTACATTCTGAATATATTTATGCTACTTTTGCTTAATGGGAGATGCAATCTAAGTTCTTGACATTTTTCTTGTGAGGTGGTGGGTATTAATTATTTTTTAATTGTCTCAAATGTTTCAATTTTATCCTTTAATGTCTTAACACTTCTCAATTAAGTATCTATTGTCCCAATTAAAAACTTTATACACTAAATGTTGACGTAGTATTAAAGTATTATTAAATGATAGTGACGCAATTAAAACATAAAAATACAAAAGGGGTAAACTTGAAAATTTAAAAATATAAGGGACAGAATGGAATATTAAAAAATAAAATACCGAGTTATATATATTAAAAAGTTATACTATCATTTTAATAATGTTTTCTAAAATGGATACTCCTAAAAATATTTCGAAAAATATAAATACCTTTTGCTAATGCGATTTTGTCAAATTTAAAATCATTTATTAAAAAAGGCAATATTTATAATAAAATCATATAATCATCTCTCCAACCCACCCACGAACACAAAATAATAGTCAAGAAGTTCATTAATTTTTAGTATTTGATAGGAGGGACCACCCAATTCAGTTCAATTATACTAGGAGGAAATTGTACCAGCTAAAAAGTGCACCTCTATATTAAAAAAATAACGGATTCAGAAAAATATTTGGAAAAAAACTGTAATTTTATTGAAATATAAAAACTAAAGAAGTCTAATAAAACCAAAGAACTGTATCTTTATTTTTAATGAAGAAAAATGTATTACATAATTCTAAACTAAAAGAATTCAACCATGACAAAACAATATTTTTATTTATATTTTGGAACAAATTAGAAATGAGAAAAGAAAGGAGAAACTTGTTTTGGTTGTTCTCAAAATTTCTATATAATTCTGAGAATTGTTCTAAAAGAAGAGAAACAAGAAACAAAATTAGTTGTAAAATGCTTAAAGTTCTTAAGAAAGTTGGAAATGAGAAACAAAAAATGGGAACGTTACCAAACGAGCCCATAATAACTCTCTAAATATTCAAGGTACTTGGAACCCGAGCCTAATCCAACAAAACTAATGCCTACCTTCATCCCCTCCAACTCACTCTATTTATAACAACTTCTACTTACAAACTCTGAACTAATTACTAATATCCTTACTATCCGAAAGACATTTCTTACTACTCCAATGACATTTCTAACATATAAGTAAGTGATGTAATGTGTGAGTTAGTTACGAGACATAAGTGATCTGTGTGTGGATGCATTTTTGTTAGAAACTTCGGCATGCTTTGTTGCTTTACTATTCATTTGTTTGTTTATTTTTAATATTGCATCTAGCATATATATATATACACACACACACACATATGCATATATTTTAATTTTTTAAGAAACATGCATTTCATCGATGATATGAAATATACAAAAGGCCACTATAGGCAAGTTACAAGAACGCCTTCCAATTTGCTATAAGGTCGTTTAGGTTTTAACTATTGAATGGGGAGCATTTACACTATTCTAGGAGCAAGTAAAATAACTCTATCAAAAAAGATCGCAGAAGGTAGAAAAGAGTCGTTAAGGAGATTGTTTCTTTCCTTAATATGAATATATGACATTCAGGGGAAAATCAACCTATGAAGTGGTCAATGCGGTTAAGGGTGGCACTACATCTTGCACAAGCTCTAGAATATTGCACCAGCAAAGGGCGAGCACTCTATCATGATCTAAATGCTTACAGAGTTGTTTTTGACGACGTGCGTATCATTTTATCTTTTTTCATATCTTCTACCTCTCTTGCTATGATTTGACTATATTGTTCACGCCAAGCGTATCCTCTTTTAGGAAGGAAACCCTCGACTTTCATGTTTCGGTCTGATGAAAAACAGTCGGGATGGGAGAAGTTACAGCACAAATTTGGCATTTACTCCCCCTGAATATTTAAGAACAGGTATATACTATCTAAACTCTACACTGTATAGAATTTTCACTATTTATGCAAAAATATGCTCATATTTTATTGAGAGTCCATATATTAGTTGGTGTTTCAGTTGCCATACCCCTCAATTTGTGCAGATTGTAGGATTAAAAATTTCTTTCTATGATGCATTATCCGATTTTAGTGAAGCCTTATCAGTAAATATGAAATATATTGGAGGGATCATGTTGCTCTTGGAACTAAACTGGTTCTTGTTAAAAGAAAATGATCCTTAATCTGTCTGTTGTGTTTGTCCGTATCATACAAATGCTATTTTGTGCATACCGCTTGACATATAGGTAGACTCCTAATTTATCTAATATTTACCGTCTTAGTACAAGGAAAGGGAGACAATTTTCTGATATTGTTCTTTGTCAGCTTGAAACTTGAAAGTAATGTGTGAAACTGCTCTGTCTTTGGTGCTTTATGGTTATCATTTCTACTTTACCATCATGTTCGCAAGAGTTATTTATTCCATGCATACACTAATTAAGGTACTCTAGCCGTTTGATACCACTTATCGTCTTCCTCTGCAGGCGGAATAACTCCAGAAAGTGTCATATACAGCTTTGGAACTCTTTTGCTTGACCTTCTGAGTGGAAAACATATTCCTCCAAGTCATGTAAGTGTCTTATTTCTGGAAAAGATGTTTCTGTATTGTTTTGGTGCGGGATCTTTTAAGATCTGGCAATCCTTAGTCTGGAGAGAAAACAACAAATTTATTCTTTGAATTCTCCTTGGTTACCTCTGCAACTTGTCTTTTTAAAAACTGATACCAAGTTTACTTTTTTGCACGATTTCTCAGGCTTTAGATCTCATACGGGACAGGAATCTTCAGATGCTTACTGATTCTTGTTTGGAAGGGCAATTCTCAAATGACGAGGGTACCGAATTAGTGCGGCTTGCATCACGATGTTTGCAGTATGAACCTCGAGAGCGTCCTAATACAAAATCATTAGTTTCAGCATTGATTCCTCTTCAGAAAGATGCTGAGGTTGCTTACCCCCTTCCCTTCATCCTTTCTTGCTTGAGTGCTTGCATATATTGTTTTGATTATCTCCCAGCAATCTCTTATCTTAACTTATAAGCTGCAGAAGCTCTTATTTACTCGAGCTGCCAGATTTTGGACTTGAAGTATGGTAGAAAAACAGATGCTAGCATGTGATATGTGATATTATCTGGTTGCTTGGTTTCTTTGACTTACACCCCTACATGCTCTTTTTTATCTTTTGTTTTCTCTTTTTGTTGCTTGTTTTTTTGTTTTGTTCTTTTTTTTCTAAAAATGAGAAACAACGCTTTAATTGAGAAACATGAAAGAATGCAAAAGGGCATACCAAAAGACAGCCTAACCAAAAGAGCCAAATCAACCAACTTTGCTCCAATTCAAAAGAACAAGGCCTAGCAAATAATTCTAGAAGTCTTTAGTAACGGCAGCCGGATTATAAGCTTTAAACCTAGATAGAGATCAAACTTCTTCCAAGACCTCTTAATCTCTCTAAAAAAATCCTATTATTTCTCCCAAACCATGTATCCCATATTGCTTATCGTCTCTCCTTATCATGGATCAACCCGGAATCCATGGTCACTTTAATTGGCCTTTTTTTTTTTTTTAAAAACCATATAATAGTTAATAGCTATTTGGCTGTTGGTTAGAATGAGCTCAAGGCTAATTCTTTGACAGGTTCCTTCTCATGCATTGATGGGCATACCACATGGTGCTGCAGCTATGAATCTGTCATCTCTTGGTGAAGCTAGCTTAAGAATGGATTTGACAGCCATACATGAAATCTTAGAAAAGATTGGGTACAAGGATGATGAAGGTGCAGCAACTGAGGTTTGTTTCTGACAAATAACTTCCAACCAATAATATCAACTTTCAATGCCATAGATTCAAGTTGAACTCTTGCCTGGTGGTGGTTATTTAGTGGCCAAAGTCTGTTGAGTAACAGTGATAAAATGCAAATTTAACATTAGTTTGGAGACTAGACATTGTTTGATAACCATTTTGTTTTTGGTTTTTTATTTTTTCTTTAATTTTAGCTTATAAACAGTTTCACACTACTTTCACCTATATATATATATAGATATAGATAGATATATATATATATATATAGATATAGATATATATATATATTTTTTACATTTTGTTATCTACTTTTATAAATGTTCTCAAAATCAAGCCCAAATTTTTAAAACTAAAATAAGTAGTTTGTGAAAACTATAAAAAAAAAAAAAAGGCTAAGAATTCACATGTGCTTTTCTTTAAGAAAAGTGAAAAAGATACCAAAGAAATTGGGAGAAAACAAGTACATTTTTAAAAACTAGAAATCCTTACCAAACAAGGTGTTGATGCAATTGCAAATTCACCACTTATATAGTATTAACCATGTGATATAATTTTATTTTTATTATTTTATTTTTTTGTAAAGCATGCCCTTGTTGATGTGACATCAAACTGTACTGTAGTGAATATTTGCAATTATATTAAATGGTAGGGTTCTTATAGAAAAAATATTAAATCATAGGGGTATATCCGCAAAAGAAGAGCAATGTACTATTCATTTAAGATGCCACATCATAAGAGTTTTTCCTTGCCTGATAAACCACGTAGTTATAATATCATTTTTTTAGACAAATTGAGGGGTGAATTTGCAATTGAATCAAAAGCAAGGGTATGTTATGCGTTGAACTCAAATTCAAGCCATTAATAGATGTTAAAATTATCTATAAAATATTAAATTTGTCTCTCTCATTATTAGTCCTATTTGACCCCACCCTATTGTAGATGTTAAAATTATCCATAAAATATTAAATTTACTATAACCCATTAGCTTAAGTTATTGGATTTGATGGTGATTTGACATGGTATCAAGAGTAGGCGGTCTTGAATTCAAACTTCTCTAGTATCTGAGGAGTGTTAAAGTGTAAGTGGTAATTTAACAGTAAACCTAGTAATGCAATAGGGGAGTCCCTAGTACTTCGGTTATCAAAGAAAAGAAAATGGTATTTATTTGTTAAATGATCTTTTGAGTGACGCGAATCTGAAATTTGCCATTCGTTACATGTCTCCTAATTGCTGTTGATTCTGGTATGCAGCTCTCGTTCCAGATGTGGACCAACCAGATGCAGGACACGTTGACCTCGAAGAAAAAGGGTGACGTGGCTTTTCGGCAGAAGGAGTTTAGAGCTGCAATTGAGTGCTATACCCAGGTCTATTCTTCTTGATTTCTTATGCTATCATTAGTTGTTTAAAATTGTCCTTTCATTGTTGGTAAAAATCACAATATTCCACAAGGCTACATCCTATGAGGCTTGTTGTTCTTACCCATAACAAGAAGTTTGTGGCATATCCTTTAGACAAGGATAATGAGGAAAGGGAAGTTTTCTTTACACAATCTCTGGGGAATAATGGGGGTGGCCTTATAGAATTGCATCTAACATCTTTTAAAATTCTTGTATTTATGTCTTGATAGTTTCTTGATTATGTTTCCACATATCTTGGAGCACTTGCAATTTTGTACTAACCGTTCCGCACTTCATTACAGTTCATAGAAGTCGGGACCATGGTTTCTCCAACGGTATTTGCACGTAGGAGTTTGTCATATCTGATGAGCAACATGCCACAGGAAGCCCTTGATGATGCTGTGCAAGCCCAAGTAATATCTCCCCTCTGGCATGTCGCATCCTATCTGCAAGCTTCTGCACTTTTTGCCCTCGGAAAAGACAACGAGGCACATATAGCGCTCCGGGAGGGTTCTGTCCTCGAAAGTAAAAAGAACGCAGTGACCTGACAAATAGCAAAATGAAAGACTAGACTTTTCTCTCCATTGAAATCGGTCTTCTTCTGTAGATGAGAACAGATCGCAGTTTCGTACATATCGCATAACGTGGCCTGAGGATCGACAACATCGGGAGTTCGAATGGAGAGAAATGGAGGTACTCTAACTGTGCCGTGATTCGTTCATATTGTCAAGTTGAAGGGTTTTTTTTAACATCACTTCTGGAAGGGTTGGTTTGCTGAGTTTTCTGAGGGTGTCAGGTAACTTCCTTTCTTCAAACTACAGTAGTCTCTGCCTGCATTTGTTCCATTTTCTAATAGCAGCATCTTGATATATGATTGATTATGTTGCTTTCAGAACATTATTTATCTGTAAAGAATTAATCGCATTCGAGGTCAAAATGGAGAATGCTTTTGCCTACTTTCTATGTTTATCATTTATGTAGAAACACCCAATGTTTGGCTGCTTAAAGGTGATACTAGTTATATCACATATGTTATTACTATTCTTTTCCTAATAAAATATAATACTTTCCATTTGGTGTTTGTTTTTATGAATTTCACCCGGGTGTGTTTGGTGATTGGTAATGTTTCTGTTGTATTCTTGTTTCTCATTTTCTCCTTTTTTAAAGAAAAATATAATCACATTTGATTCCGGTTTTTTTTTCTCTTTTGTATTCTCTATTATTGAAAAAAAAATTGATAGAAATGTCTTTGGGATTCAACTTACAGCTCTCAGAGTGTTACATGAAAATTATTTTTTAAAGTAAAATGTTAAAAAACTTGTGTTATATTTATTTCTATAATATTTATGTGCATTTTATAAGTAAAATAATAAATAAATATTGCTTTTATTTATATGGATTGATTTTTTTTTAGCAAAGGGGGAGCAAAATACCTAAACCGTACTATGCTAAGTTGGTAATGGAAACACGAAACAAGGAATTAGTTTTTATTATTTCAAAATTTATGTACAATTTTGAAAACCTTTCTTAAAAATGAGAAACTAGAAATATAAACCATTACTATATTATATATTATATATTTATTTATTTTGATAATGGTGAATTAGCTTTGCTCTCCCTCTATCCAGAGGTATATGTGTTTTTGAGACATCAAAGATTTTTGGTATTAAACTCACCCAAAAATTTTAATTAGAGACCTCAAGAAACTCCAAGTCGTTGTTAATGGGGTTGTTTTTTGGGGCAAATAATTAATAAGTGCTTGTATTTCTAGAAAAAACTGAAAAATAACACGGGTGACCCTCTAATTTTATCCGAGTGGGATAGAGATGGAAGTAAAAATCGCTGAGGATGGGAAATGAGAATGTATCTTCTACTGTGTCTCCCCCATTGACATTCCTACCAAGGAAATAACTTGAAAATATCATTCAAGTATTTAAGCAAATATATGTTACACAGAATTTTTATATCAAGGCATCTCAAACATTTTCATCATACTTACAGAACTCATATCAATAATTTAATGCAACAAATTTAGCACATCAATACACCCAAACCCATCTCATTCTCATCAAACAACAATTTATTCACCCCAAAGCCCATATATACTTATAGAAACTCAAACAGAGATTCAGCAGTGGAGACATCTCATGTAATTTTGACTCTTTTTAGCAGTTCAGCACATCTTCTTCTTCCTCCTCTTCATCCTCTGCCACAGCATCTTGATACTGTTGGTACTCTGATACCAAATCATTCATGTTACTCTCAGCCTCTGTGAACTCCATCTCGTCCATTCCCTCACCGGTGTACCAATGCAGAAATGCCTTCCTCCTGAACATGACTGTGAATTGTTCGGAGACTCGCCGAAACATCTCTTGTATTGAGGTTGAGTTTCCCATGAAGGTTGAAGACATTGACAAACCGGTTGGTGGGATGTCGCATACGCTTGACTTGACATTGTTTGGAATCCACTCCACAAAGTATGATGAGTTCTTGTTCTGTACGTTGATCATTTGTTCGTCGACTTCCTTGGTGCTCATCTTGCCGCGGAACAAAGCTGAGGCAGTTAGGTATCGACCGTGACGAGGATCAGCAGCACACATCATGTTTTTGGCATCCCACATTTGCTGCGTGAGCTCGGGGATGGTGAGGGCACGGTACTGCTGCGAGCCACGAGCAGTCAAGGGTGCAAAACCAACCATGAAGAAGTGGAGGCGTGGGAAAGGGATGAGGTTCACAGCTAGCTTTCGGAGGTCGGAGTTGAGCTGACCGGGGAAGCGAAGGCAGCATGTAACACCACTCATGGTTGTGGAAATCAAGTGGTTGAGATCACCAACTAAAACACAAAAATCCAGATAAGAACAAACTGTTCAATCTCAAGTAGATTGCTACGTAACAAATTTCACTCAGGAATCCAACACCTCAAAACTGGCTAATAAATAAGAGTGGGTCCTCTTGGTGTTTAACCACCAATCATACAAAAGAGTCAAAGATCCCATATAAGTATTAAATTACCACTAAACCAAAAAATTTAAGCCACGCAGTTTTAATAGAGAGAAATGATATTACAAGAGTTTGACACACAACTTAAGTTTTAATATCATGTTAAATCATCACTGAACCTAAAAACTCAAAATCGAGACTAGACAAGTTGTGATGTTGAGAGAGAGATGAAGATAGAGCGAGACTTACAACTTGGATTGGTGAGCTTGAGGGTCCTAAAGCAGATATCATATAGTGCTTCATTATCCAAGACCATGCACTCATCAGCATTTTCAACCAACTGGTGAACAGAGAGAGTGGCATTATAGGGCTCAACCACTGTATCTGAGACCTTAGGTGAAGGGAAGACAGAGAAAGTTAACATCATTCTGTCAGGATACTCTTCCCTGATCTTTGATATCAGCAGAGTTCCCATTCCAGATCCAGTCCCACCTCCAAGTGAATGGCAAACTTGAAACCCTGTTTCACCCAAACATACATTCAAACCTCATAAAATTTGCATGTTAAAAACTAGAATTTCGATTACCACAAGGAAAAAACCTTAGTGATAAAATTACTTATATTCACGAATATATGGCCCGGTGGAGTATGTCACATAACTCAACAATCTTTAAATCACCTCTCAACTCAAAAACTTAAGTTGATGGGTTACAATAGATTTAACAGATTCGAAAGGAGAAAATCTTCTACTCTAATGCTATGTTAAATAACCAATTAACCTAAAAGCTTATGTTTATAGGTTATGGTAAATTTAATCTTTTAAAGATACACTTTAACACCAGTTTTGTTATTCACGAGACTGGATACTTAACCGTAGTTAAGATTACATGGTTCAAATATGGGATTTCCTACCCATCATTCTATGTTGCACTACTATATTTTATATGTATTCTTTGACACAACTCAAGCACTTTTGACTAGAACACCACACACAATTCGGCTTTGGATTATAGAATCTCAGTTCACATTCACAATAATCTTCATTCATCTAGACAATATACACCAAACAGAGTTCTTCCATTCTCTAATTAGTATTTGCTAACTTCGTCCAATTCAAATGGCCCAAACATGAAGAACAAGAAAGAAAAACTTCATAATCATACCTTGTAAACAGTCGCCATTCTCAGCTTCTTTTCGAACCACATCAAGAACAGAATCAACCAGTTCAGCACCTTCAGTGTAATGGCCCTTAGCCCAGTTGTTTCCAGCCCCATTTTGCCCAAAAACAAAGTTATCAGGTCTAAATATATTCCCATAAGGACCTGTCCGGAGGCTGTCCATGGTTCCCGGTTCAAGGTCCACCAACACAGCCCTAGGAACATACCGGCCGCCGCTCGCTTCGTTGTAGTAAACATTAACCCTCTCGAGTTGAATGCTACTGCTCCCAACGTAGTTTCCGGTGGGATCAATTCCATGTTCGTCGCAAACGACCTCCCAAAACTTAGCCCCAATTTGATTTCCGCATTGCCCGGCTTGAACGTGGAGGATCTCTCTCATTTTTCAGAGGAAATGGGCAAATGGGCAAATGGGGTTTCTGATTGAAGCTTCAGAAGATCAAAATGGGAGGTGGGTTGTGGGTTTCCAGTGGTGAAAGGGGAAGAGGGGGATATATAAAGGGGTTTTTGTGGATGAAATGAAATGGGGTTTCTAGTTTATCTTGAAGGGGAAAATGGGTAGAAAAGGATAGTGAAACTGAAGAATCAAAGCCATGGAAGAAGGATTCAATTAATAATTTCATGTGGGAATGTATGAGAGAAGAGGGAGCTGTCAAATTCCAAATGAGAGGTGTGTGAGCTGGATGACAAGGAAGGTGACAAGAACAAGAACAGGGGAGTGGGAGTGCAAGTTCTTGTGTCTTTATTCATAAGTTTAAATGACCAATTAATCCAATCCTCTTATCTTCTTCCCCACCTGTCCCTCCAAGTCATTAGATTAAGATATTTTCCACATCTTGCTTGGTGCGTGGAGGTAGCAATTTTTTTTTTTTTCAAATTACATTATAAAATTGTTTCTTTATGATTTGGGTTTTATTTCAATTTGATTTTTTTGTTCGAGTTTAATTTTAAATACAGCGGAACAGGGGAGTGGGAGTGCAAGTTCTCTCATTCAAAGGCTAGTTTACCAGTTTCAGATCAATCTTTTAAATGAAAATCTTGAAAGTTTAAAACTTTTAGAGTCTCCTAAACTAGCCTTTGAAGGAGTGAAAACCTACTAAGAGCTCATCGAAGGTAAGCCATAGAGTATCCTAATACTTGATTATCAAAAAGATTTATTTTCAGTTTTTAACTAATGTGGTAATTTTAACATTTGTTCTTTTTAAGTCAAAGATCACAGGGAAAAAAAAGGGTGCAACTTGTTGGTTTTTATTAAACATTAGATTAGTAGAGTAAAAATGGGTTTTGGGATTGTTGGTTTGGTGGGATGCTTGACATTTTAGCCATTTAAAATGGATTTGCACCTTAAAATTGATGTTTTTATTGCTAATTTGGTGTGATTTGATGGAGATTTTGACTTAACTGGTCACCCACATCTAATTAATCAAACTTTAATAATTTCCTCCCTAAAATTTAAGATTATTAACAAACTGGTTCTTTTGGAAATAACATGGCCAAGAAAAAAGGGTTAAGAAACTATTAAAATGCGAATGAATTGAAAGTTTCACGAGTTACCTTTTATGATCCACTTTAATTGGCTAAAGGCAATTGCTAAACAACTCATATCGTTGGAGGGAAAATACAGCGTAACATGAGTTGTTCAACTCAGTTTAGTATTATCATATCTATTCAACTAAGCCAACAGAGGAGATCGACCTACACTCGGATTGAGCTGATGATCAAAACTGAAACAGAGAATTACCCACGTTCTCTCCAACAGACATGAGGCATCCAACCTCAAGTTTGACAATCGATCTGGGGGTCCGACCGCTACAACTAACGATTAGAGCGATTCCAACAGCCTTGTCCCCTAATTGCTTATAAAAGGGACACTCCACCTCTTTGCTCAAGTACACAATTATGCTCCGAGAATGACTTACCGTAGCTCGTGTCCCTCTTGAGTGTCAGAGTTTTTCTTCCTTTAACAAGTCCTTATTGCTTAAGGTCTCTTCCCGTTCGTTCAAGTTGCCACATGACCGACTTTCGACAACTTGACAGAATCCTACATCAAATCATATAATTAAATATGTTCATGGCCAAAGAAAAAAGCCTTTAAGAAAATAAATATTCAGGCTCCGATTGATAACATGTTATTAATTTTATGTTTGTTTTCTCGTAATTTCTCTAGTATGTCTTTTTTTTAACACATTTAAATTCTTAGTCAAATATTGAACACAAAAAAAAAGATATTTTTTCGGAAACCATTTCTTTTGATTTTCAAATTTTGGTTTGGATTTTCAATATGTTTGTAAAAAGTTGATAACAAGATAAATCAATACATAGAATCAATAGTTGTGTAAGCTCAAATTTTAAACTAAAAAACAAAAAACAAAAAGGGGCTTCAAACTTTTCATGAATTGTTGATATTTTTCCTTTTCTTATGGAAAATATAGGATTTATCGTGGAATGATTATTTGAACAAGATGAGATTTGGAGATTTAAACATTGAGTGATACTTCTAAACTAAAACTGTGTCAAGTAACTTTCATTGTAGATGACAAAAATCTTCACAGAGGATTCCTCCTTGAATTGCGTCGCCGGGGATACAAGAGTAAAAAAAAAAAAGTTTTCCGTCCTTGTTTTCGAAATTGGGACCCTATCTCACCCTATGTATTCGACTAAACCGACTAAAAATGATTGTCTAAATTACAAAAAATACTCCTAAATTTCAATACTACTGTTTTTTACCTTTGGATAAGCGTCTATTTATACAGGTAGAAGAGGAAATATAGAAGAAGCTATCGCTTTTAAATGGAATATTAAGACAAAATTAGGTAGACAATAAAGAAGCAAACGTTGTTTACAACGAGGAAACTAAGACTTTTAGGGTAAATTTGGGAACGTTAATTGTCACGTTAATTATAATGTTATTCTATATTCTGTCACGTCAATTTATTCAAAATAAAGATCAATGATAATATTGGAACTCTTGAAATGATAAAAGTGTTTTTTTAAACACCAGACGAAATTCATGAGTACTTTTTTTAATTTAACAAAAATGTGTTTTTATACTTATATATTTTAAAAAGTAGAATTTACTTTTATAATGGACAAAATTCCACAATGGAATAGGATAATAAATTAAAACTCTTATTTGATTTTTAAATACAATAGGTAAAGATGAGAATCGAAACCTACTATTTTTGATCCAAAATATACTTTAACCAATTGAACGTTCAATTATTCTTAGACAAAGAAGGTATGTTAAATTCTGTTCAATCTCACGCCACTCCAAAGTATTTTTCACAAATGAATAAAAAATATATATTTTTTATTAATTTCTCCAATTAATTAATTAAGGCAAGTTGGTGCATTTATCATGCATGGAAGATGATATGGACTTCTAAAATTGAAGTGTTATTTTCTTAGGTGTCCTTTCATTAGTATAATGTCACCTATAGGGAATGGAAATGATAAGTGTTCAATAATTGAGACAATGGATGGAAGTGGGCTGTCATCTACTGTTAACTCTTTGGAATAAGGATTCTTTGTGGGATTTTTTGTGTCCAGTGCCCCACATGTAAATTGGAATCCAAGGCAATCTTGGAAATACCAACTATCAACATAGTTTCTAAATTATTTTTACGTTTAAATAGGGAAATTGAGATTTTTTTACTCCTTTTCTAAAAACATTTATTTGTGACCCTCCATAGCTTAGTTTGGACTCATTTTCACTTTTTGTCCCGGTGAAAATTACCAAAATATCCCCATTTTAAAATTAAAAAAAAAACAATATTCTCCACAATCTTGGTTTTCTCCACCATTCTTCCACCTTAAAACTCGCACTCTCTTTAATTTGGAGAATCAATTTTGATTCCCGAAAACAAGAAGTTTACCCCTGAGAATTTTCTAAAAAATAATAATAATAAATATGCAAGAAATGGCTCCTCAATGATCAAAATCTAATTGGAATAATCCCGGCCCAGGATTGATAAATGCCTGAATTTAATAATTAAAAAAATCAAGATTCCATAAATTTTAGGTAAGAATGCACGAATATTCATGATTTAATTTAAAGAGACTCGAGATTGCATAAATGCCCAAGATGATTACTAAAAGAAAAAAAAAACTTGAAATTACATTAATCCCGAACCAAGACTTATGCAATTTCAATTTTTTTGAAGTTCGGGATTCTATCTAAAAACGCCTTCTTCTTCCCTACTGAAAATCGTCAAAATTACTTTTGAGAAACTGAATTTAAGGTGCGTATTCTTCTTCTACGCTGATAACAACATTTGTGTCTTCTTCAAAATTGCTTCCACCGTGTAGATTTCAAATGTTATATGTAGTGTCAGCAAAGTGTTTGCTTAGAAGGGAAGGTTTAAGGTGCGTGATCTTTTGGTGTATTATGCAGGTTTAAGGTGAGAGATTGGTGGAAAGGTATTTTTGAAATTTTACAACAGCAAACATAAAAAAGGGTTAAAAATTAGAATGAATTGGTCCCTTTTAAGAAAGGGTAAAAAATCCAATGAATAATAAAATGGTGTCAAAACCCTAATTTCCCGTTTAAAAACTATTTTTACTTATTTTAGTGTTTTGAAAATTTTTACTTATTTTACTCTTTATACTTTCAAAACGTTTGTTTTGATTTTAGAAAATGATCAATTCGACTCATGTTTGTAGAATTTTATATACAATATAATCCCTATAATACAAATTTATGACAACATTTTAAAAAATTTAGCGAGTAGTGTGTCAAATTAAAATTATATTATAATTGAAAAAAATAAGATAAAAATAAAAATGATAGAACCAAAATAATCACATTTTTCATAAGAAACCGACCCAAAATACACATCTAAAAAATATAGACTAAAATGAAAAAGAATTATAGAGAGCTAGATGAAAACCGAAATAGTTTTTAAACTTTATTTTTATTAGAAAATTCAAATTGAAGTTGTCCATGCAATAGATGATGTATGTCAAACTTTGATTGAGTTATAAATGTCGCTTAATAATCATTTAAATTTTGATTTTTTATACGAGTAGGAAAAGAATTTGAATCTCCAACCTTTCATTAACCCAAAGGATAATTTCAATTTTTTTTAGTATTCGAAAAATGAACTTATTCAATTATTTGTTTATTAATTTTTCAAATCTTGCCCCCAACATCGGAAGTTAATTTCAATATTAAAAAATGACCACTTAGAAAAGATTTAGTTCAAATACAAATTGCTATATTTTATTATTGATATGATAATATTTTGGTTCCTATACATTCTTATTTCTGTAAATGTCTGGTCTAAATTAATTTATGCATGCAGAAACGTAAGAAGGAACTACTTCAAATTTATGTAGCTATCATCATATAACATATAATAAATGATTTCAATTTTCAATTTCATATTATAATTAATACGAATATGCTTTTTAGAAAGCAAACATAAAAAGATGAATGAATCAATGACAATTCATCACGTCTAAATTATGTTATCGCACTGAAAATTTGAAAAATATTTTTTAGTCAGCAAAAAGCACTTTTCACTGTTTCAAAACTCATTCTAAAATGTACAGAAAATAATAATACAAAACTTGAAATCTCCAGCTAATTAAAAAAATTCACTCGGAATGAGACTGAGACAGTGAAGGAAGATGTCAGATCTAGATCTAAATTAAACATGAACGCATCAAGACGAATCTCTACCAAGCAGAACTCTTCTACAAACACAAACGAATCGGGAGGAATCCTCACCCATCTTTTGTCTGTTTGTTTTGTTTATCCAAAGGATCTAAAACAGTAACCATTAACAGTAGAAATTAAGACTGTTTTGAGTTTTTGTCTTCTTAAAGATCCAAGCATGAACAGAAGGTTTATTGCTTGCTGTCAATGACACGACAGTGAAATGGCTCAATGAGCTGATGCTTCTCTACAATGATCATCCTCTAGTTTTTGTGGTTGCAATTTACCACAATCCAAAGAAGACCATCATAGAATTACAACAACTACGGATACCAAGCTAGGAAGAAGTTTCGGTATGCTAGTAAAATTGTTCGTGTATCAGTTCCAATAATTCAAAGGAGAATGAGAATAATTAAAGCTGAGATTTGTAGGTAAACTACCTTACACACAAAGTGGACAACATACCAGTGGTCCATTGCAATGTTACAGTACAAGAGATGAAAGCTCAATATAGCAGCTCCTCAAAAACTGGATCTACATTTTGTCCCCACTTCCCATTATACAATTCCAACAGCTTTTCAGCTGGTGTCACGCCTGTAAAAGATATCATACCCACGCAGGGGTCAAATTTAGGGTAGCTCCAAAATGTGCAAGTAAAACAAGGAATTGGATGAATTATATTAGTAACACCATTCGCATTTAATGTGGGGACGGGGGATTGAACCTTCGACCTCAGCTATGGTGCTTTAACCACTGTGAGTTATGCTCATGGTTGGATTTATTTGATCGTGCATTATGTTCGAAACGAGTACTTTAGTGTTTCTTAAGTAATCGGGGTCACCCCTAGCTCATGACCCACCCTACTATTTATTCTATATGGAGACCTCTTTGCCAACAGTGGTTCTAAATCATTAATGCCCCATTTCATTTTTTTTTCTTTAACAAGATACAAACTTTTCATTGATAGATGAAAAGGAACAAAAATGTTGAAAGGTACAAACTTCAAAAAGGAAAATGAGAAATAAACCATAAAAACATAATCATTTTGTTTTTTATTTTCTGTTTATAAAATTTAGCATATAAAGACTCCCTTCCATCTATATATTTCTTTGTATTGTTATCCACTCTATAAAAACATTTTCAAAATCTAAGTAGAATTTGAAAAAAAAAAAGAATTAGGACAACATGTGCGGGTGGAGGTTCGAATACACGACCTTTTGGTCGGAGATATATGCCTTAACAAATAATAAACACATGCATGCCTAAACCCTAAAAAAATAGCTTTTAAAAACTTTGTTCTTAAACCTAAAATGTGCTTTTTTAAGAAACATGGAAAATCACCAAATAAGTTGTGAAAACATAAGCATAATTTTAAAAACTAAAAACAAATGGTCGTCAAAGGAGTCACATTTTTTTCACTTGGGACTTGACCCCAAGATCTTGGACGACATCCCAAGGTCAAGACCAGGGGCAAAAGAGCACTACAGTTGAAGTTACTAGTAAGGATGCTAAAGATAGAACTTTGGTGTCTTAGAGCAAGGAATAGAGGAATATGAGAGAGAGTATATACTTTAAGAAGTTAACATAAAATTTGTTCTCTCACCTGTTCTAGCTACTTCAGTCACCTCATTCAAGAAGCCCGACTCCTTGAAACCTCTTCTCTCTAAGCCATCCTAAAGTGGGGAAGAACAGTTTAAGGTTCAACATTAGTTATGCCAATAAAGGACCAGCACTCACAATAAAAGAAAATAGTTTTTCGGGACATACCTTTGCCAACTTAACAATATCTTGAGCAACGTGCCTCAGCAACCCATCACGAAATGGTGTATTGAAACCACTTATTGGAACCTAATATACAAAGTTCAATAGTATTTAGGCATGTAGCATTTATTGCAACAACACATTTCAATTTCATAACCTAGTCGAAATCTTGGGTAAGTGAGAATATGCCTTGCCTAAAGAGCTAGTCCATAACGCTGACATAAACTACGAAATACAGGAAAAATATCCATGGACCTTCAAGTATCATCAGCTATAGGAATCTTAGAAAGAGAAAATAACAAAACAAAACTCATGAGCTTGCATCAGTTGGACAGGAATCACAGTAGGTGGCCTTATCAACAAATTTATTTTTAATGAAAATCTGGCTTTCATTCAAAATAATAAAAGAATACAAAAGGGCAACATTGCCAGGATGCCCTATAATATCCGTTGGGTCCATTGAACACCCTGAAGATTCATAACTAAGAAAAACACAGAGGGTATGATTGTATGAAAACATAAATGAACACTAAAATAAAGAAGTGCAATTTGATCTTGTGAAGAGAGAAAATTCTGCCGGTGGTTGAGCAGAGAGTTCAACTACCCTATAGGAATATTCATTTCCTCGATAAATTATATCCATAAATTTAAAACCAATACAAAAATTAGAATGAAGGAGCGGAAGAGTCCGCATGCTTCGCAGTTCTCACAAGTTGCAACCGAAAATAAAATAGAAAATGATTTCCCTCAAGATCCTATTACCTTATTCCTCAACATCTGTCTTTCTTCGGGTGTCCAGTCAGCTGTCATGTCCAAAACATTTTGCAGGGAAACCTCGTCATATAATAAACCAACCTGACATTTGAAGAGATAAAACATTATCAATACTCTAAACAATTGATTATATACATAGAATCGTTACAGATCAAGCAGTAGAAGGTTTTAAGAAACAGCGTCGAATTGGAGAAAAGACAAAAGAACAACACCAAATTTATAGTAATCACTTTACTTAATATGATACACATTATACCCATGTCTAAGAAGAGGGCTATATGAAGCTTACCCAAAATGCTGGCAAAGCGCACAATCTCCTCCAAGGACCTCCATCACTACCCCTCATCTCCAAGTATCTCTTCAATCTGACCTGAGTAATAAGGGGAAAAAATATCCTAGAATTACGTAATAATAAGAATAATTTTGGAGCAGATTGATCTTAGAATACCTCTGGAAATATCGTGGTCAAATGATTTTCCCAATCAGTAAGGGTAGGAAGTTCTCCAGGAACGGGAGGGAGTTTTCCTGCCATAAAGTCCTGCAGAAAGACAAACCCAGTATTGCCTTGATTATTAATAACTGAAAAAAAAAATTACAATTAAGAGAAAGGAACTGGTAGAAAGAAAGTTTTGCAATTTGAAGATTATGAAGGGTACATGCATACCCTGAAGGACATTCCAGAACAGTCAATATACTTCTTTTTCCGATATATGAAATACATTGGAACATCGAGGGCATAATCAACATACTTCTCAAATCTGCATTTTGAGAATGTCAAGTTTGCATAACCATAACCCCAAAAAGGAAAACTGAAAATGAATGATCATGCAAGAATTTGCAAAGGCTAGGGCACCAAGGGGCTGGGAAGTAACATGACGAAACACACAAGAACTAGACTATACAAGGATAGACAATCCCATTAGAAGTATCCTAGAAATCCATGGTAAAAAATTAAGTTATTTCCCTAAAGACAGAGCAGGTGGAAGCCCAAAGTGAGGAACAGACTTTTCTCTTTCGTTCATTTTTCTTTTTCGAGGATAATAAACATCACACTTCCATTCATAGTTCACTCCCTCGGGAGTTTGTATCTTTTGAACAATTTTGTTCCTTTTCATCATTTAAATGAAAAGTTCGTATCTTGTTAAAAAAAAATAGAAAAAAAAATACGTCAAGGAAGGGAAGAGAAGATTACACAAGGCTAAATAAGATTACATTGTACAAAAAGTTTCTCCAATTGACATGAAAGGAAAGAAGGAGACTGATCATGAAACATTAGGCTGGACATTACAAAGAAGAAGCTACAAAAGACATTAATTCCAAAAACCAAATAAATTTCCGTCTGTACAGAATGCAAAAATTTTCAAACAGCCTTGACTTCATTAAACCAAAGCTATTTCTCGTTGAGATAAGAAACTAAACCAACTTCAATAATCTTGAGAAAAGAGGTACAAAAGAGAGGAAAAGGGAAATAAAACATGAATAGAAAGAAACACCATAGTTTCTGAAAAACAGGACCAAAGATTAGGTAGAACTTTGAGACTAAATTCACTTTGTTAGTTCCTAATTAGGATACTTCCTTTTGTAGTTACCTTTATTTTTGACAGATGCCAAGTAGAGCTCTCTTCTGTGAGCTCTTTAAGTTTTCATTTCACACTGTACCTCGGTACTTTTGATCTTTCCAATAAGAACTAATGTTTGCTACCCCCCCCCCAAAAAAAAAAAAGAAAAAGTAGTGTTGAACAGTGTATCAGTATAATTATGAAGTTTAAGGCAGAATAAGGAGAATTTGCAAAGGATAAAACCAGCCAATACATCCTCCCACAAAATGAATAATCTTCCTGCTACCTTGGAAAGGAACGAAGGATGGCAAGTCCTAAACAGTGGCTGTACAAGGACATAGACTAGATTCCCGAACTGAAAGGGAGAAATAAAACAATTGATTCTGAAATATTCCATTTGTTTGTCCAATTATGGTGATATATTTAAACCAAAATGTTTGGCACATTCTTAGTTCATTGAATAGTCATGACGCATGCTGTGAACCACCAATTAGTTTTTCAAATACAATTTTCTCCACTTTCCACTTAGAAAATAGCTACACCATTATATTTGAAGATAATTGACTTATTGAAGTATGTCTTAAGGAAGATTACAAGAGCAAACACTGAATTTAATAATTAACATATAAAAGGAAGAAGAAAGCCCAGGAAATATTTGAAAAGAAAATATATGGAAGGGTTCAGTTATGGAAGTGACAGATTACCCGAAGGAGTCGTCAAAAACAAATGGAAGCATGCCAGTCCGGTCATTATCAGTATCAGTCCAGATCTGGCTGTTCAAATGCAGAAAACAAATTTATTAGAGAGGGAGAGAGAGATTTTTATGAAAAGCAACAAGTAACACTAGAACTAGAACCTTCTCATGCTCAAAAAACCATTTGGCTTTCCTTCAGTAAATGGTGAATTTGCAAATAGAGCAGTTGCTATCTGTTCACTTATCCAAGTAGTTAGACACATTAAAATAGACACAACTACACAAAAAAAAATAATAAAATAAAAAAAAGAACCCTGCAAAGACAAGGTTTCTCACAGGTTGTAAAGCAAGGCCTGCTCGGAACTTTCTGATCATGTCAGCTTCTGAATCAAAATCTAGATTAACCTAAAAGAATGAGACAAAGATGCTTGAATAATTAATCTGATTTAGAAAAAGTAACCTTGTTGACCTAATCTAGAGGGGATAAATTTGGATGGAATCAAATGCCTATAGTAATCATGTTTGTGTCTCACCTGCACAGTGCATGTCCTAAACATCATATCCAGTCCAAGTGAACCTACTTTGGGCATGTAATTCCTCATAATCTCATATCGTCCCTGAGACCAAATAACTATTAATATAACAGGTGTGAGGAGAGAAAAAAGAGAGAGTTGGTGGAATAAGCATGCTAAGGAACCAAGTCAAATGCAACAAATAATTGAATATAAGGTCTATGACATATTGCTGCTATATTTATTCTCTCTCTTCTTTCTTCCCCCCCACCACCACCAACCACCACGAAACAAGGTGTACAATATCTTTTCAACATGCTTCAAAACGTTTAGCGGAAAATTCTTTTGGTAGAAACTTGATTTAGTTTACAGTTATACCTTGGGCATTATAGGTATGTCTTCGCGTCTCCATTTAGGCTGGAATCCAATTCCTAAAAATCCAATACCCATTTCCTCAGCTACAGCTTTCACCTAAAGGAAAGAACTATAGTAAGATAATTGACAATTAAAAGGTCAACATCTGGATATTTGTAATCACCGTCAACTCTCTATAATGCTTCTGCATGAAGTATATAATTAATGGATGCATGGAACCTTTGAACAAATGAAATGCTGACAGGCATCGAGAATAAACATAAAACCTCTGCAGCCCACCCAGGACCAACTTACAAGAACACAAACCTGGTAAAGGTGTGAATTAACTTCAGCACAGGTTTGATGCAAAGTTTCAAGAGGGGCACCACTAAGTTCGAATTGACCACCAGGCTCCAGTGATATACTTTGTTTTCCCTGGTCCATAGTAATCATAGGTTATTCAAATAAATTCAAAGGAACTTAATGGATAGATTCCTCTAAAAGGAGATCAACATAGCATTTACCAAGGTAAAAATTTCTTGTTTCACATATCCATATTAAACAAGTTACACAAGGTGCATAGGCGCTAAGTTGCTATCTCCCATATGTTTTGAGGCAGGGGATGTGGTTTACCTGCTGGAGTCCTATAATTTTGTCACCCTCCATTACTTTTTCCCAGTCAAACCTCTCTGCAATCCCATTCAGCAACGCTGCTATTTGTTCATACTTCATGGGACGTAATGTTCCAAACTCAAAACCAAACTTCTCGTGTTCTGTACCAATTCTGGAGGGCATTGTCAGATATTGGACGTTAATATGGTGGCGTTTACAAATAACAGTAGAACAAGTACAGAAACAACCAGAAAAACATACACACTTAGACAACCCGATTACAGAGGCTGGGATTAAGAAATTAAATCAGGGGGCTAATAAAGGGATAATAATATCTCAAAAATGGGCTTCAAATAAAACAATTAAAGGGATTGAGGATTATAGTCTATAGTCTATAGTCTATATTTCATGTAATTGCTATAAATGAGACTTTGTACATATACAGGAAACATACGGCTGGAAGTTGTGCGCAGGACAAGGCCTTTTCAGTTAAATAAATTTGCTAGTTGTAAATGACAACCAAAGCAGCTCAAACCAGAAGTATACTACAGAAATACAAAAATAATGTAAAGAAGAAACAAATGGCTGAGGAAATTTGAACAAGGTAACGGAAAAAATCTGGTGATGGAAGTGATATAACACGAGAAAGCATATGAAATATTAACCTCCATTTTTCCTTGGACTTGCATCCAGAAGCTAGATAAGCTACGAGATCCTCTTTTGTCAGCGGCTCGGTAGCAACTACAGTGTCCTCGGTAGGAGGACTCGCAGCAACAATCACCCTGCCCCCTCGTCTCGACGCCATCCTCGTGCTGTCTATATGCAAACCATGCGTGATATTCCCAGAGCAACACGATAAAGAAGAACCGATAGGAGTTTCCTTCATCTTCAACGACTCCATATGAGCCGACACACTGAACGCCACATAGTTTCCTCCTTTGCATCGTATACTTTCAACACCAATCCGGTGAGTCGAACCAGCCTGTGAAACGAGAGCCATAGCTCGCTTCTAAACAATGTGCAACCACTCAGTTACAATCGGTTCCGAAGAAAACAACAAAATACAGTAAAAGCAAATCCACAAAATACGCAGTCTCAACAAGACGCCGCCGATAGACAAACAAAATATGTATATATATATCGAAAACCAAAAGTTCAAATGCAGAACAATTTGCAATCAAGCTAGTGAAACAAGATATAAAAATTGATCGAACATGGAGCCGTGTTTGAAATTCTGTCTGCATACAATTTACAATTACCTGAAATACTAGAATTCTGAGGCGTTGAATCAATCGGATATCGCTTTTCTGTTCTCTCTTTTCTTTTCTGTTGTTCGTAAAGAGACTTTGGAGAGCAATGGAGAGAGATGCCGAAAGGAAACTTTAGCTTTGCTTCTCACTCTATCCCTCGTGTCGCGAAATTAAGAGAGAGAGAAATAGAAGGCGGCGGCTATGGTGCGGCATTATGTACGCTTTTACTATGCTCCACTTATCTTGCCGTTTGCCACATCAGCTTTTTCTTTTGAGATTCTCCGACCAAATGTTCTTCTTTTGCTTTACTAGTGCCAACCTCATAAAATTCCATTAGGTGTCAAATGTGTTTTCTTCCTTAAAAAATTATAATATAACATGGATATCCAGTAGAATGTATAATTTGGTTCCTTGAAGTTGGAAGTTGAAATATTCGTATTTCTATATTTACTATATTAAATAATCAGTATTTATTTAGTGGCTTAATTTTTTAAGAAGAATATTCAATATGTCTCTAAATTTTTAAATTTGTATTTATGATTTTTCTTTCGTGACTATTAATTTGATGTTTTATATAATACGTTAATTGAATATTAATTAACGATCGACACAACATAATAAAAATAATATTATAAATAGATCAATAATACGAACTACAAATTAGTCTAGTGGGAGAAATTAAAAAAAATGATATTTCTAAGCTAGATATAAACCCTCAATATCACATGGCGTCTCGCTCGAAAATTAATCTACATCATAGTTAATTGGCACGTCACACCATATAATCCCTAGTTTATATAATTATCATGTCATATAAATGTTAAACCAACTATGTTAATCTGAAAGTTTTTTTTTCTGGTTCGAGAAAAACGATAATTTTATGAATACTTTTTATAGATATCAATGTAAAAATGTTTATAGTTTAACATATGAATTACTAGTCTAATTTTTTAAAAATTTCAATTTGGTCTCCTTACTTTTAATTATTCAATAATTATATTTTTAAAATATAAAATAGATAGAGCGAAAATTAAAACTTTCTGAGATATATCTCAGAACAGTCCTGTTCAGATTGGACCAATAATTATATTTTTAAATCAATAGCATATTATTTAGTTTATAAATAAGACTTAACCGATCAATTGATGAAGTTTAAACAAATGATGTCAAATTCATTGTATCTTTCCCTTCAATAAATATATTAGGGTTCATGATTCCCTGCGTGATCATAGCCATATATAATTTTATTTATTATTATTATTATTATTATTATTATATTATATTCCTCTCGTCCCTACCACATTTTCTCTAGTTTAGGGGATTGGCAATGGACTTGAAAAATCCCCTCCAATCATGGTGAGTAAAGAAACATTATTTTTTATGTTTTTACTGGGTTTAAATACAATCGATCATGGTTTAATCAATACCATCGATAGTAACAAAAAATAAATAAATAAATACAATCGATCATAATTCAATCAGTTAAAACATCTACCTCGACCAATAGATAGTTAGCTCAATCTACATCCTTACAGGTTATACTAAAAAAAAATTTAGTCAATGTATTTTTAATTTTGATAATTTTTTTGTATCTCTACTTTTAAAGTTTTAGTTTCAATCCCTATATTTTTAACTTTTGTTTAGGGTAGTACTTGTAATTTGATTTTCTTTTATCTCTGTATTTTTAAGAAGGGACTATTTTAGTTATTATTTATAAATTTTTAACCTAAATTTTATACACAATAAAAAATTTGATTAAATTTGTATTAAAGGTTTCTATTGTATATAAAATTAATTTATGGTTCAATTTCAATAAATGAAATTAATACAGTAAATGAAGTATCATGTTAAAATTGTGATATAAATCAATAAAATAAACATAAAAATGAAATTATCAAAATATTCATTTTTTAAAGTATATGGATTAAAATAAACATTTCGAAAATATATAAATTAAAATGAATAAAAATTTAAAGTAAATGGACTTATAATAACAAAGGGAAAAAAATGTTGAACCAAAATATTATTTTAACTTTTTTATTGTATAATTATTTAAACAATTAAGAGTCAACTTTGAAATGATAAAATTAAATAAATGTGTCCCTCTAAACATAGTTCAATTAGTCAAAGACACCAATCTTCGATCAAAATGTTGTATATATTTAAAAACATATGAATAATCTCGTTAAATAAAATTGTGAATTAYGGTTATTTATCATCGCAAGCATAATTGCAATAACAGTGCGATCTAAATTTAATTTGTAATCATCCCAATTTAAAATAGTACTTCTATATAGCATGATTTACTACAATCAGGAATTTTTTTTTCGTTTTTTTCAATTTATCGTAGTTTCAAAGCCAAGTCAAAGTTTGTTTTATTTCTATAGTTTATCTTAGTTTCAAAACCAAGTCGACTTTGTTTTATATGTGTGTGTATTTTTTTTTTCCTATCGTAGTTTTATTTTAATCTTTTTACTTTTAACTTTTTAACTTTGGTTTTGGTTTAATTGTACTCTCAAAATATTCATTTTGGTTCACATATTTTTAACTTTTATTCACTTTAGTCCCTGAATTTTTAAAATATTTATTTTAGTCTACGTACTTTTAAAAAATGACTAATTTAATTGCTATTCATAAAATTCTAACTTACAATTTTATATATAATGAAAACTCTTTAATACAAATTTATAGTTATATTTCAATAAATTTAGTGAGCTAGATGCGATGCTAACATTATAATTGAAACAAGAGACATTTTGAAAGTAAAAAATAAATAAAAGTTGAAAGTAAATGTCTTATATCTAGTGCCAAAATGAAGCTAAAAACAAAATTTTAAATGTCAACGTCCATAGAAATGTCAAAGTCTCAATTTCATTATAATATTGATGTTGATAAATTGAAAAAGTTATAAAAGTAAAAAATTCGTACTAACTATTTAAATTAAAAAATGAGCATTTTATCATTTATAACTAAATTAAAAGTAATTAATATTAATATTATGTAAAAAAAATATATGTATTTTATAAAATTGTCACAGTTATTTATTTTGTTTTTTCAAATATTTTATAAGTAGAAACAGGTGCATCACACGTGGAACTTGAAAGTTTTATTTTTAAGTAAAAAAAATGAATTAAAAAAAGTGATAAATTACAACGTAACCTAATTTTATAAAATTGAAGATGTTGGTTTCAGCATTTTATTATTATTATATGAATATTTTAGATATTCGTATTATATTATATTAATTTTAATTAATACAAAATATTGATCTAAACATATTTTCTGTTCATTTATTTAGAGTACCTTTTACGATTCCTAATTATTTAATTATGTGAATATTTTAGATAATTCTTTTTTTTCATATGAATATTTTTTTATTGGAATTTAAATCAACACATATTTTTTTATTTGAAATATGAAGATGAAACACTAAAAGGTATTATGGCATAAATGAAAGGAGAGAGGAATTTAAAGGGGTGGGATAGTGAGGGAGAGAAGAGAGAAATGCAGAAAGAGAAAATTTGTATTTAAGTTACGTAATTACAATCAAAAGAATAGTTAAAATGAGAGGGTAAAAATGGAATACAAATTTCTCCTAATAGTGGTTTTATATATACTATCGATATAGATATAGATATAGATGATTTATCTTGTTGAATTTGACTAGGACTATATTATTTTTTAAAATCTCAAACTTTAAGCGATATTTTTAAAATATATTCATTTTATTTTGTTGATGTAAATACTTATTTTTATTTATTTGTCAGGGTGCCATGTAGAAATGTAATATTTAATATTGTCATTACATGTTTTGGATTTTTTTAGTTTGTTACAACGATGATGTATGAATAAAAAGATGATCACTTTTACTTTCACTTGTTAGTGGACCAATATTTAAATTGGTCAAATTTATGTGGTTTTTTTTAATTGATTCAATTAGGGTTAGAGATTCAAATCACAACTTTATAAGTAATGCGTTGAACATTCAAACTATATCATGTCACTAAATTAATGAATGTTATGTTTTTTTAGTACAACATGTGGAATAGGGAATTGAACTTACAATCTCTTGATTGTAGATATATGTCAATTACTGCTGAGCTATGCTAATTTTGACTTTTTTTATTTTTGAATAATAGTACGTGCTATGCTAACTCATGTAAAACAAATATATATTTTTTGTATATAGTGTATTTCCGACTAAATTAATAAAGTATATTTTGACATGACTATCACATTTTTGTTAGTTGGTTTCAAACAAAATTAAAGTTATTAGATCGAAATGATTTGAAAATATAAAATTCAAAACAAGAGATTCAAATCAGAAAACAAAGATTATTTTATGTTTTTTTTGTGTTTTTCAATATGTGTCTAGATAGATTTAAAAATGGTATCAATTTAAAAAATTATTAAAAGTATGTTGACTAAAAGTAGTTACCAACTAAATATTTAATTTAATATAAATTATTATTAATTAATTTATTAATATATATTATAAATTTTGTGTAATTATTATTTTACACGATTATATAATTTATAATATATTATGTTTTATTTGTTTTAATTTAAAAGAATAAAATTATTTGATGATATAAAATAATATATGTATCAAAATTAAATATAAAAATATTGTTTCTAAAAATTTTACGAATCACAATAATAAAAAATTTAATTGAAAAATAAATATAAGTAAATCCGAATCTAAAAACTTAAAACTGGAAATATAACATAACAAATATGTCATAAATAGCTGGGACTGAAAAAAGGAAGAAAGGTTAAAACTATAAGGGGTTAAAATAGTAATTTCGTTCACCCATAGGGGCGGCAGGTTGCTAGGGACTAGGGAGTGAGAGAAAGCGTGGCGAATTACTCCTTACCGGGTCCACATCCTATAAAAGCCCTTCTCGGCTCCGCTCTTCTTCCCCGCGAAAACCAAAAACCAATTCCAATTTGGAGGGACAAAAATTCCAGGCGTAGCGTGCTAGCTATCCGGAGATACGCACGCCGAACGCCGGCCAAGCCGCTGCCGTTTCGCGATGGGGAACCGACGATTTGCGCAAGTCTCCACCAGCGACGAGGAAGACGAAGTGCCGGCACCGAAGCAGCAGTCTTCCAATTCAGACGATAACTTGCCAATTCGGAGGAAGAGGAAGAAAATGAAGCTTCAAGAGGAGGAGGAGGAGGAAGGGGATGATAGGAATCGTAGGAGTAGAAGAAGTAGTAATAAGGGAGAGAAGGTGGTAGAGGCGTCTTCTAAACAGCAGCAGGGGGAAGATGAAGAGGAGGATGATCAGCCGCAGGAGGATGCAAAGCCGATTGGGGACGCCGTTAGGGTTTCTGGCAAAGGGAGGGGGCGGAAGAGCCATTACAATGCATTCGAATATGATGGGAACAGATACGACCTTGTGAGTTAGTTTGTGTCATTAGTTTGTTGGTTCTTTTGTGTTTCAATTATTTTCTATACTTCTTACTTCGTTCGCCTATTTTTCGTGTTCTCTTTTTTGATTGTTGAGTGAACAATTTAGTACTGGCGGTCGTATGGGCTGAGAAAAATGCGAGAATGAAGGCGTGAAATCTGGATACCTATAGCCTTGTGGTAGTTAGGGCTTGGTGTGTCCCTAGTTTGATGGCATTATGTTCAGAATTTGTTATCTCAAGTAATAATATCGTGTGTAACAGTATGCACATTTTTTTTGTTATCATAGAATATTTTTAAATTTTGTACACGTCCATGATGCTAAAACGTTTAAAAAGTGGTAGTCGTAGTATCTCTTTTAGTGACTCATTGCCTGGTAGTAACGTTGCAATTTGGTTCTTACATTTTCCCTTTCAATTGTAGAGTTTTATGCCAAAGAGTGCTTCCATGTTATGAGAAGCTTCTCATCATACTTGTTCTCGTGTCAGGATGAAATTTATTCAGCGACCATCTTTATTACTGCTGCTTGTTATTAATTTTCTGATTGTATGTAGGAGGATCCGGTACTTCTAGTTCCTGAGGACAAGGATCAAAAACCTTATGTAGCAATTATTAAGGTAACATACTCTATTTTTTTTTATTATTTTTTATGTCCTACATTTTCGTGATATGAACATTCTCTGATACATATTGATAAATAATCTACAATGCTTTTCTTTGAAGCAGTTGCTGTTTGTTTTAGCTGTTTCAGGGTGTAAATAAGCAGATATTACTATTTACATTTTTATGTATTGGTTCTTTGAGTTCGTGGAAGTGCATTACAATGTATTTCTTTTATGGAGTAAATGAATGGAGCGAGCTTCTTTGACATTTTTCCTGTAATGGTTGTTGAGGCAATGCCCACCCATCAGTGTATAAAGATGTATATTTGAATAGGGTGTTCACACAATAAATTCAAAAAGTTACAAAAAATGAGATAGAGTGTTTTAGTTTTTGCTGTCCTCTCTTTTGAAAAACAGTTATCTAATTTTTGTCGATCCAAAATTTTCGAACATTTGTTATTTTGAACTGTTGATATGTTTTTCATTCAATTGGTCATTCTGTGTTGTAAAGGTGCCTTTTCATTCTTTTTACCATAAACTTTTATTTCTGAATTTGAGTTAAGATGGAATTTTTTTAATCTGTGGTTGGTTAACGTGTAAATGAGATGCTTACTAGTCATGACGAACCACTATGGATTGACCCAATGTAGGATAAATGGGCAAGATGGAAATTCAGATTCAGATTCAAACTATGGTGGTCTATGGTGACCACTTATATTAAATATTCTATGAGTTTTTTCAACACTAAGTGTTGTAGGATTAGGTGATTATAGATCACTCGGGATGTGTGGAGGAAGGTTATTAAAATTGAAGAGAGATGCTTACGACCCATCCTTAAAGTAGTGATGATTTTGGGACTCATCCTGAACCGGTAATGATTGTTTGCCTAATCTATCCTATCCTTCCCTGGGCCATGAAGGCTGAGTATGAAATGGGGTTACCTGATTATATTCAGATGTCTCTGGGGCCTATTCTTAAATCCTAACTTGCCATCTAGAGGAAACTTAAAATTTTAGGACATTGGGTTCTCGTTAAATGGTTTCTTTTTTTTAAGTTGATATTATCTTTAGCTTGTCCTTATATGGCGGTTCTTGTTTTTTTATCTACATGCACATACTTGTAATCCGCAGAGGAAGTTAGCTAGCCACTGTCTTGTCCCTGAACAGTGGAACTTGGTCCTATTGATAGGATATTACTCAGAACAAAGATGGCATGATGGTCACTGGGCAGTGGTTTTATCGTCCTGAAGAAGCTGAAAAAAAGGGTGGTGGAAGTTGGCAATCACATGATACTCGAGAGCTGTTTTATAGTTTCCACCGTGATCAGGTTCCTGCAGAATCTGTTATGCACAAATGTGTTGTGCATTTTGTTCCCTTGCATAAGCAGCTTCCAATTCGTAAACAGCATCCTGGATTTATTGTGCGAAAAGTGTATGACACAGTTGAAAAAAAACTTTGGAAGCTAACTGATAAGGACTATGAAGACTCTAAGCAGCAGGAAATTGACGAACTTGTTAAGAAGACTATGTCTCGGTTGGGAGATCTCCCTGATATTGAGCCTGAAGATGCTCCAGCTGATCAGGAAGATCAGTTGAAAAATAAAAGGAGTTTCAAAAGAAAAAATATTTCTCCTCTTGATGTTACAAGAGATGAAGCAGATGCAACCAGATTGGATCACGGTTTAAAGGCTGAAACACCAGGAAGTTGTACAACTAACCGATCGGAGTACTACTCCATATTAGAAATATCTGATGTTCTAACAGGCGAAACTCATCGAGATAAATGGTTGGAAAAACTTCTGGAGGGGGTTCAGTACATATGTTATTCTCCTGAGAACGTACGTGAAGATGATGTAGGAAAAGGTGCTGCTAATGGTGTAAACCATGAAGATAAGCATCCAGAACCTACAATTACAGCACATAACAATTCTAAGGTATGTAGCCAGCAAGTATGAATGTGAAAGCTGATTATCTATATTATTATTTGGTACCTTTTGTGATCAATATAAGAATGATTCTACTTTTTGTGGGTTGCAGAGCTGCAAGCCTTTTCTCTGGCCAGATGCAGCTGTTCCGGCAATAACTGCTCTTGAGAAGGTTTCCAATGATGCTCTTTCTGCTGATTTTCAGAAGTATAACCAAAAAATGCGGCAGCTTGTATTCAACCTCAAGGTTAGATGGCTTTCTGATTTTCTGTGTTAGTGCATACTCATTCATAATCATACTAGCTTGAAGGTAGGCAGATGATTATTCTCGCACAATTTTCTTAATTCTAAATACTGCAACATAATATATTAATATGCCAATGGATTCCTGTATGCCTGCTAGATATGATTCCATCTTTTAAGAACCTTTTTTATTATAATCAATTTGTAACATCTGAATTTTATATTTCTGTTCATTAAGAGATAACCTACTGAATATGAACATTGTTAGGTGCATTTGCTGCATAGGAATGTTTAACTGCAGGATGTTTTCTGCATCAAGAACTGTCACCTATGCAGTTAATTATTTGTAACATTGTTCACTCCATCCATAATTATTTCTTTTTCTTGGCAGAATAATCGTTTACTAGCTCAACGGCTGTTGAATGGAGAGTTGGAGCCGTCGAAAATCCTGAATATGTCACCTAATGAGCTCAAGGTAATACAATGATCATAGCTATCCTTTTGTTTTAAATTCAACGCCTGGAATCATGTCAGCTTGTATAACTCATGACATGTAACATACAGTTAGCTAAATTGATGAACTAGGCTGCTATACTTCTTCTTTCTACCTGGTGGATTTGCTGGAATTGAATTTGAAAATCCTATGTAGCGTAGAAATGGATAGTAAAATAAGACATTGTTGTGACTTCCTTTTCTTTATGGGACGTATATTCTCTCTTTAATTTTGTATGATATATATTATTTGTTACTTGTGTTGTTTCTTTCCACATGAACTTTCTGTGCAAATGTCCTATGTTCCTTGTCAACTTCAAAATTTACTAGTCTGATCTTGTTAGGTCTTAGGAAAAGTCTCCACTCCCTTCACAATTTTCGAAATAACTTCTAAGATGAAGTATAAAGAAAGCTGGTCTGCTTGCTGTTTGTCTGTAGTCATATTCATAAGAATATATTAATTATCCTGGCCTAAGATTCCAAATTCTCTCCTTCCTCCTTCCCACTACCAAAGAAAAAACAGATCATGGTTTAAACTAGAACATAAGAGCTAAAAGTAACTTCAATTTTATTTATTTTTGAAAAAATTGCAAAATCTTCTTTAAGCTAATTGGTGTAGGTACATCATAGATCTTGTTCATCTTATTTTTTTGTTATTTTTAATAAATACATCAACTCTTTATTTATTTATTTTTTGATAAGAAACAAAGAAAAGGTGTATTGAGAAAGGGAGAAAACTCCCCAAAGGTGATAAGCTAGAGGCAAAGGGTAGAGAAAACCCTCCCCTAAGAACTATACAGTCAAAGCTTTTATTAGAATGGTTGAGAGCAAAAAGGGAGACACCTGTTAGGCCTCCTATTAGAAATACTTATGTACGTAGGGGTAAAGGAGGTAATTCCTCCTCTTCTGACAATTAGGAGGGTGACTTGGGAAGGACCTTAGCTTTTGTCTTTTGTGTGGTCCTAGGATTGGGGGAGGGAGGATATATGTTTTGTGGCTGCCAAGGTTAGGGTATGCTTTTTGTTTTGTACTCTGTGAGTGAGACTAGTGGGGAGAGCGCAACCCTCTCGAACGGTTGCTTGTTTCTGTGTTCTGTGTACTGTTATAATCTAAGTGACTAATTGTGAGGGAATTACCTCACAAATTGGTATCAGAGCACGTTTGCCCGGGGGAAGAGTGCGAATGGCAAACAAGAAACAGTTAGAGGAAAGGTGCGAGTCGACCGAAAAGGAAGTAAGTGGGATCAAGGAGGTCCTACAACAAATTAGTTCCCAACTGGAGGAACAGCGTAAGAGGAGTGAGGCACAGATGATCGAACAACGTCGCAAGAATGAGGAAACTCAACGAAAGCTGGATGGGTTCATATTAGAGGTATCCCAAGGGAAGAGCCCGCGGTCAGCGGCGGCGAAGAATGGAAGTTCAGCCCTAAAGAGGAAACAACCCGAAGGAAACAGTGAGCAACAAGGCGAGACATCAACAGGCAGAGCTGAGGGACCCGGGGTCGAACGAAACAAGTTTAAAAAGGTGGAGATGCCCATTTTCACAGGGGACGACCCAGACTCGTGGCTCTTTAGAGCTGAGAGATACTTCGAGATCAACCACCTGAGTGAGGAGGAGAAGATGACTGTGACCATTATCAGCTTTGAAGGGGCTGCTATGAAATGGTACCGTTGGGCGGAAAACCGGCAACCATTCGCGGATTGGAACGACCTGAAAACCAGGATGTTTGAGCGGTTTAGCGATTCCAAAGATCAAAACCTTCTTTCTCGCTTCCTCTCCATCAAGCAAGAAGGTACGGTTACTGAATACCGACAGACATTTGAAGCTTGGTCAGCGTCTTTGCCCAATATAGCTGAAGAACATTCATCAACGGGTTGGAACCCAACATCAGAGCGGAACTTAAACTTTGGGAACCGGTGGGCCTCGAACGAATCATGAAAAAAGCCCAACTTATTGAAGATAGGAATTCGTCAGTCCATACAACAAAGGATAGTAGCCCAATTCAGGGCCCTAGGACATTGGCGAATACGCCAAAAACGCCTCCCAAGACACTAGAGACAGTGACAACTCGCACGGTTACCCTATCTGGTAAGTCGTATCCTACGACCCAACCGTTACGAAGGGAACAGACACAAAAAAGGCTAACGGAAACAGAGTACCAACAGCGCAAGGACAAGGGGCTCTGTTTTCGGTGTCAGGAAAAATACAGCATTGGGCATAGATGTAAGAACCAAGAGTTGAAGGTCTTTGTAGTGCACGACGACGAAGGTATGGACCTGGACCAAGAAGAGCCGATTATGAGCATGGAAGGGGAAGGCTCCACCACGGTAGGGGAAGTCGCCGAGCTGGCACTGAACATCGTCGTGGGTTTTTCAACTCCAGGGACCATGAAATTGCGAGGACTGATCGAAAACAAGGAGGTGGTCATCTTGATTGACTGTGGAGCCACCCACAACTTCATATCACAGAAGTTAGTTGATGCGCTCTCCCTTCCCCTACACGAGACATCCAACTATGGAGTAATAATGGGCACGGGCGTAGTCGTAAGGGGCAAGGGAATATGCAAGGGAGTCGTCCTCTGCCTCCCTGAGTTGACCATCAGAGAAAATTTCCTTCCCCTTGAGCTGGGAAATCTGGATGTGGTGCTGTGAATGCAATGGCTGAGCACCCTAGGAACGATGGAGGTGGATTGACAGGCGCTTACCATGTCTTTCAGAAATGGGGGCAACGGAATCATCCTCAAAGGAGATCCGACCTTGATGAGAATGGAGGTGACTCTCAAGAAGTTAGCACGAACTTGGGAAATACATGATCAGGGGTACCTAGTGGAGTTCAGGGCCGTCTCTGCACAACCAGAGGGACAGGAGGCCTCTGAGGCCATCATTCCCAGTCGCCGGGTACAGGAAATCGAGAATTTAATAGCTGGCTACCCAGAGGTTTTCCAACCACCCTCCTCCCTGCCCCCTTGTCGAGCCATTGACCATAGAATCCAGCTGAAAGAAGGCCAGCCACCCGTCAATGTCCGACCCTATCGCTATCCCCATGCTCAGAAGACCGAAATAGAGAAACTAATCAGTGAGATGTTAGAGGCAAGGGTGATCAGGCCAAGTACCAGTCCATATTCGAGCCCCGTGATCTTAGTAAAGAAGAAAGATGGTAGTTGGAGGTTCTGTGTAGATTATAGATCCCTGAATAATGCGACAATACTGGATAAGTTCCCCATTCCTGTCATTGAGGAATTGCTAGATGAACTCCACGGCTCGAAGGTGTATTCGAAGATAGACCTAAAATCGGGATATCACCAGATCCGAATGGCCCCTGAAGATGTGCACAAAACAGCATTCCGGACACACGAGGGTCACTATGAGTTTATGGTGATGCCCTTTGGTCTCACCAATGCTCCTGCCACATTCCAAGCATTGATGAACCAAATATTTCGACCATTCTTACGTAAGTTCATTTTGGTCTTCTTTGATGATATTCTAATATATAGCTCCGATGCAGATGCCCACATCCACCATCTAACTGTGGTTTTCAACATACTGAGAGATCACTCCCTTTGTGCCAACTTCAAGAAGTGTCAGTTTGCCAAGGAAAAGATCGAGTATCTGGGACACTTGGTGTCAGCAAAAGGCGTTGAAGCAGACCCTGAAAAGATTCGAGCAATGCTCCAATGGCCACAACCAACGAACCTCAAGGAGCTGCGGGGATTCCTAGGCTTGACGGGGTACTATCGCAAGTTTGTCTCTAATTATGGATCCATGGCGGCCCCGTTGACACAACTGTTGAAGAAAGATG